GGGACTATATCAAACTTCAAAACACAGTATCTTTATCTCCAGCTACGATTCACAGCGCTCACTAACATTAACAGCGTCTATGAACAGCGTCCATGTTAGTGAGCGGTATAGTATCTTGTCTATCCCCAAGGTATCCAGTTACCGCCACCTGTCGAAACAAAAAACCATTTCGTAACGATCTGTTTGATTGGCATTTTAGAAGTTGATGGATAACGGTCTTGCTTGACAACGGTATAAGAAGCTATACCGAAACGTCACATCATATCACTCTTGCTTGACAACGGTATAAGAAGCTATAAGGAAACGTCACATCATATCACTCTTGCTTGACAACGAAGCTATACCGAAACGTCACATCATACAACGGTATAAGAAGCTAAAACGTCACATCATATCAGACAATAAAGAAGCTTAAAGTTCATCCATAAGAAGCTATAAGGAAACGTCATCATATCACTTTTTGACAACGGTATAAGAAGCTATAAGGAAACGTCACATCATAAGAAATAAAGAAGTTGTTATCCATAAAGTATTACATTTTTCTATTTTACATTTCGTAACGGGTAAACATTATTTATCGTCAGTGCGAAACGATATTGTCATCTCTCGAACATCAGCAATATTACAAGTGTAATTATAAGAACAAGTATGCATATAAAGTTTTGTTTCAGATGTTTGTGATGTACTTAATCTTGAAAACATTTTCTCTCCAAGTGTATAATTGGTGTTTCTCTCGAGTGAATGGACACTTTTGACAATATTTTCGCCACAGTTATATTATTCATGTGACCCTTGGCATGATCCTGAACGGACAGAGGCGGTGCATGTTACCATAGAGGTCAACGTCTTACGACGCGTGTAAAACACGCTTGCTGCTTGCCCGACCTTGAACGTTGAGTCGGGCCACAAGATGTGACAAATAGGTTATTCTTGCAAGAAAAGAACCGTTTTGTTTAGCATGTATTTTCTGGCACGATATTCATGAAATTACTATGAAAACCATTTCACTATAGTCTGGCTACCTTCAGCACCTAGTCCTTCAGTGTTATTTTCCATTAAACACACAAACACGTAGTTGGTCATTATTGAATTTGAGCGGCTAGGCCACGCATACATTTTGTCGGGTCACTCAGTATAATCTCATTTAACAAAGATAACTTCTCTTCGTATGCTTGTCAGAAAAAGTAGGGGATCATTGATACGAAGTATAAAGAACAAATATACTTGTTGATGACAAATATTCAATGCGAGGAAAATTGCTGCAAACGTGCATCGGTCTGCTGGAGAACAAGAAACGGTTCACGATTAGAAATCGTTTGCAAAGCAGGTCATCTCTCTTTCTGGTCCCTAGAATCCTCGGTCATAGCATGTACTGTGATACTTCATGATCTGTTTCAATGTGTTTATTATTCGTTCATTCTTATAAGACAACTATTGTGCGAAACACTTATCTTACAAGTTTGGAAATTAGAAGTTCTTTCCGAGTACCGCCTACTTTTGCAAGTGTTTGATGAACGTTATCTTACCCAGGCTAGAAAATCGTGAAGCTTTTGAAACATGCTTTCCCATAATGTCATTGCAGGAAAGGTCATCATTGCCTTTGAGTTTGTTCAGCCTCTTAAATTGAATATTAAGAAAACCATAGCACTCGGAAGTAATGACAAGTCGACAAAGGCATTGCTGTGACAAAATGACCATCACAGCTAGTCCCGCCATTCATTCAGCAGACCCGTTGATTATTCAGCATTTATCGCTGATACAGACTAGTCTCGTCCTTGAGAGAGGATTTGGGGGAACTATAAGTCCCAGTTGCTGAACCACATTAACAGGGGAAATGAAGACAGATGTTCCATCGACATTCAAATAATTGCCAGAACGTTGTGTGGAATGACAGAACGTTGCCTCCATGTTAATCATCCGCTCCAGACTGACTTCAGAATATTTGTAAAACCCTTATTGAACCACGCGAAAAACCTTTTCGTGCTTAAAAAGCTTTTGAAAGACAATTTAGAAACAATCCTGGGGGGATTGGCCATTCAGTAAGAGTATGGTTTTACGGCGCTTTTAGCATTATTCCAGCAATATCACGGCAGGGAACACCAGAAATGGGCTTCACACAGTGTATCCATGTGGGGAACAGAACCCGAGTATTCGGCGTGACGAGCAAACGCTCACCCACTAGGTTAACCCATCGCGATGGACCATTCAAGCGATCAATCAAGAGAGAGAGAGATCATCGATCGAGGATCGAGATCGATCGAGAGAGAGAGAGAAAATACAAACTCAAGATATTGTTTCAAATGATAGACATATTTTGCAAAGTTTATAATGACAACATGATATGTGTCCCGCACTAGGGATCGTGTGAACTGTGTATCTGCACCTTGGAGAGTTGACAGCATTTCGTCGTCTTCTAACATTTCAAAATTTACATAGGTTTCAACATCAAGTAGATCAATCAGAGATGAGAAAAAGTTATTTCGGAGACCTAATAATTGTTCACAGTGTAGTATCACATGGTTGTCATAGTCATAAGCGTGCTTGTTACAAAGCAAACATTCTTTTGAGATTTTATTTCGTGATGAAATTTTCAAACATAATTGCAAGGCTGCTCTGAGTTCAGGATATAAAAATGCTAAGTTCAAAAGTATGTGATATGTCAGTGATGTATGAGCTCGCATGTAACGAGACAGTCCTGCATTAAGTGATACTTTGTTACGCTACATGTGTTCTTCATATTCTTGTACGTTTTTGTTTATAATTCGTCTCCACTGGTGTTTTGGGGAAATAAACCACTGTATATAAGTAAGTATGTAAGTAGTTTCTAAGGTGTATTTGCACAAAACAGACTGGAGATCTCCACAAATAGTTGATTTTCGGGGTGTATTAGCCATGGAAGCACAGAATATGTGTTTTATGAGATTGTCACAACTAGTGTTGCATAGAGAGCCGAAGAACTGGAGTTTACTTTTATCAATGTAGCCAGTCATGGTCCACAATCCTAAGTTTACAATAGTGGATTCAGACGGAGATCTCTTATCTAGTCTGCCGCTGTTACAGGTCATTGGCTCCCTCCCTCTGCAAGCAGTTTGCGTTCTGCTGTTTCTTTTGTTGACAGTTACATAGACAGATTCTTTACTACAAATGCATAAAATCGGTGATTTACTAATGTGATTAGGTTGTCTGACAAAACATCCACTTGCACAGTTTGAGATCGATTGGGTCATTGGATGAAGAGATATTTACAAAAAACCGGGTCCACATGCATTTCATGCCAAACTATACACCCAAACAGCAAGGAAACATTGTTTAACCGCCTGGACCCTATATACTCGGCTCTGATTAGGTGAGCATGCTGCCTTCTGGACATCTCTGCCAGGAATCCCCTGGCAGCCATATGCAAGAGCTTCCATAATGCAATCTTGAGATAATTGACTGGGACTTTTTTCAAATGTTTACAACGGAAGAGGCAGCTGTAATTGTGAGTGATTTCCCCTCGCGCCTACAGCAAGTCACACCGTCGTAGACGTTAGCTGTCTCTTTAAATCTGCCGGGCAAAAGTCGTCACAGACTTCAGAAGGAATATAGACCATCGCACTTGTTAATGTTAGCAATACAAGGACAGTATAGCTGATTGTAGGGGACTTGTCAACCGCTGGTCCCAGTTCCTTGATTACGCTCCGCTAATTAAACTATAAAAGCTGTTCATTCTCTCTGCGAACACGGATTTGGCCGTTATCAGAATGAGTACTGCATTCATAACAGTAGGTGACCCATAGTAATCTCACTGATCGAGGCGTCAAGTCCTGAGGTTGCAAGGCGCCTTCAGAAAGAGCCTGATACCAAAAGGTGAGGTGAGGTGAGGTGAAATTGGGTTTTACGTCGTGCTTGAGAATATTTCGCTCATGACGACGTGCATGCGTGTGTATGTGTACGTGCGGCTGCTTGTACTAGCCCAGACTTAAGCTGGTTTTATAGTGCTAGCCCACTCAGATACCATGCCGCAGTGAAGCATGAATACCCTACTTAGACACATTATACTGACTCAGAGCCGACCAGTCCTTGTTGTACCCATTAATGCCGAGCGCCAGGCAGGGACCAACAAGTACCATATTTTAACGTCTTTTGGTATGACGCTGTCGGGGATCGAACCCGCGACCTTCTGCTCTCCGGGCGGACGCTCTAACCACTACACCACGGAGGCGGTTCCTGATACCAAGAATGATTGTAGGATTGATTTGGCGACCCTTTCCGTGTATCGTCCATCTGTGAATACATACATCGCGAACCTAAGCCACTTCTGCAGTTTCTTCAGCATTTTCACACATCTCCTTCCGTGTGCATCACTTTAATTTACACAGGTTTCATATTCGCATGACCCGTGATTCTTATTGGGTCGAACTACGCTTACCGACGGAGATTGCTAGATATATACCACACAGTTTTTCGTTTACCTATTCTGATTTACTTGCAATTTTTGATAGGTAATAAGTCCTTTGGATTTAATGGTAAAGTAAAAAGAGCAGCTGCACCTGGATATCACGGGATCCGGGTGGATTATGACCCATCATAGACTATCAGGTGAATGGCAAGGCAAGGCAAGAGGATTAAGGGGCGAAGATGGTCGTAGACGTTGTTCTTGAGAGGCAACGTCTTAGACGTGACTTTCACACAGACATAGGTGTAGCTTGGATTGTTTTTATATGAAGTGGAATGGGGTTTAACGTCCCAGTCAACATTGTACATACGTGTACTTGTGTAAAGTTACTGTTTTGTAGCGCTATCCTTACGAGACAAGACACTGCACAGAGACATCCCACTCGGGCTCAGTAACCAGACTCCCAAGCTTACCAGTCCCTGTTCTATCCGGACAAGAGGGAGTGTAGCGTCGCATACTTGTTTAAGAATGGTTTAGAGTTTGCTGTTGGGTAGCTGGGAATGACCTGTCAGCTACCGAAGGCGGTGTGGGATTCCAACCAAGTAAAAAGCCAATACCTTAATTACACTATTGATATGAGTTTATTCTTCAGTCTGCACATCGCGATCCGCGTAATTGTCGCTTTCAACGACGTCATCAACGTCGCCTTCCACGTCGGCAAAATCCACATGGGCAGGTCCGAAGACGGTGGGGGCTGTTGCCACCTGGATGTAGTTGTCTGATTGGGCTGTCAAAAGCAAAACATACAGAAATGTAACGCTTGTAATGCTGACCATATCTTGAAAATCTCCCGTAACTGTTGATTTGGTGCAAATGTTAAAGCCCCTAAATCCCATTCCAAGGTCACTTGTATATTTACAACAGTAAAGGTAAACTGTTACTGTAGCTCATGTCATGACTAACTGTTGTATTGCAAGAGTCATGTGGTCCTTGACTTTTGTTCAATGGTATATTTCCTCTGAATACTAAGAGTGACTGTGTGAGTGAGTGGAGTGAGTTTAGTTTTACTTCACACAGCAATATTGCAGCTATATGGCGGCGGTCTGTAAATAATGGAGTCAGGACCAGACGATCAAGTGATCAACAGCATGAGCTTCGATCTACGCTATTGGGATACGATGACATGTGCCAACCAAGTCAGCAAGCCTGACCACCCGATCCCGTTAGTCGCCTCTCACAAGCATAGGTTACTGAAGATCAATTCTAACCCGGATCTTCACGAGTGAGTGAGTGTGACCCTGATTCTCTATTGGGCAAAACTCGCTGCATCGCTGAACATACGATGGCATGGCTGAACATACGATGGCATGGCTGAACATTTCGTGTAATTCGTTGCTGATTTTTAGTACTCTATTAAACAGTTACGTTCATAGAAATGTAAAATAAATATTGCATTTCACTGCCGAGCGTTACTGGGCACTGTCTAGAGATGGTCATGCAGATGAAATGGTCTCGCCACCAGTCTTTACAGACTTTCTGGAGTGGATTCTGCGCCAATTGACACTAACCATCTTTGTGAATGAGTGATGCAGTTACCACGACCGGTATGCAACACTTCAGAGATACCTACCATTGTTAGACTCCCGCCTCCTCCTATCGGTAGCGCACGAACTCTGAAGTAGAATAAATAATGATTTACAGTGTTCCCGTATTCAACTCAAGTACAGGTCCATTGGTTGTACAACCCCTCCAGCTGTGACATGTTGACCACCAACCTCGTCACATCAAGCGAGTGAGTATAGTTTTACGCCGCTTTTAGCAATATTCCAGCAACATCACGGTGGGGGACACCAGTATGGGCTTTACACATTGTACCCATGTGGGGAATCGAACTCTGGGTGACGAGTGAACGCTTTAACCACTAGGCTACCCTACGCCTCTGGTCACATCAAGACACCCGTCTATAGGGTAGAGGATACTGTGGGCCCAGCTCCACCAAACATTGGTTATGCATACGAAGCAGCTGTTTGTAATCGGGAAGATATACAAGCACGGTCAGGGGAATGACCTTGGAACACCGATGTTAATGCTGCACTAAGCAAAACGTCCCGTCATGATGGCGGTCTCTACCTACACGTGTATCGACCAGTGGTGGTGGCTGAACCTTCAAGCTTACTTGGGTCTTGACTACAGCCACCGTCCATTAATTTAAGGATCAAACCAATCATAATATTTCTATACTTGTCCGTCTAAGTGGGATCAAACAGTTCATTAAGACAGTTAGTTGCTACATACAACTCGCTCACCCCATCGCATTTCTTCACACAGAGTGTGAAGTTACAGTCGAAGCTAAATTCAAGGTCATCACCGAGATGGAAGGAGGCAAAGTAGGGGCTGCGGGCAGTGAGGCCGTCCACGATGAATCCAGCGCTCTTGTTGAAGACAATACCGTCACCGCACCTGCACAAACACCTCACAGATACTTTACAAGGTTAATCTGAAGTCCTCTAATGAATGAATACCATGGTTCGCAGAGAGTGAGATTTTATTTTCAGGTTACCTTCTATTGAAAGTGTAAAGTGGTAGCTGTTTGCCTGTGACCATTAACATGTGTTTTATCGATCAATGGTCCCACTTTGTGCTTCATGTCATACTTACCCTCCCCTGAGAATGGCGTATCTCTTTTTGGTGTTGGTCCCCACAGCGTCGCACGACACAGGATGCAAACCTTTCTCTTTTGAACCACCTGACAGATTTAACACAAATATACAACGAAATCGGGCGGTTGGAGTCGTGAAACCGCAGGAGGCGTCAATGCAATAATTCAACACGTGTGTTTCCTATTATGGTGTGTTTCCTATTATGGCGTGTTTCCTATTATAGCGTCTTCCATAGTGTACCGTGTGTAAAATCACTGGTAGATAAAAAGCCAATAGAAAGTGTCTGTGATAGCCATTGACCTACAAGGTCTACGTATACACCCCCACACCCCCAATTGAGGGTTTTAAACACATGGATACTCCCCAGCCCAAAGTCATTACACCCAGTGTCAGAATGGCACAAGTAATATTACACAATACTTGCCAATGATATTCAAAGTTACAAAGAGCATCTCATCAGCTCTTGATCTGTGTGAAGATATGTATTTCGAGGGTATTCTACAACTTTTGCCAAGTGCTTCTTGGGTCTAGAAATGAATAAGACCGGTCTAAATAGAGAATCCTGCTGTCTGTAGGTAAAGAGATAGAAGAGGTTCGTTGCAGTATGCCCACCGTTAGTCGTTGCCTTTAGTTGAACCTTCCTCCCGAGGTCAATACTTTGCCCCGTGATGTTGTTGCCGAGGATGTCGGTCAGCTCGAGTGTCAGGACGGAGGTGGTGCTCAGCTTGCCCTGGTGTTTCTGCAGCTCGGGAGGAGCTATCAGCCTGCAAAGCAACCCATCTAAAGTCAAGCCTCGACTCACTCTAGCAGTACGTCTTCCATAGAACTATCCGTCTCAGGTTCCGCTTGTGAGTCAAGTTTTACGCTGCTTCCAGCAATATTCCAATAATACTTCCGACGGCAGACACCAAAAATGGCTTCAGACATTCTACCCATGTGGGGAATCAAACCCGTCTTCGGCCTGACTAGCGAATGCTTTATCCACGTGGCTACCCCACTGCCCCGGTTCTGAGCTAATGCCTATACACAGTACAGATTAGCTAATAGCTAATGACTATACACAGTACAGATTAGCTAATAGCTAATGTCTATACACAGTACAGATTAGCTAATAGTCTAATGTTAGCTATACACATACACAAGTACAGATTACAGATAGCTAATGTCTAAACACAGTACAGATTAGCTAATAGCTAATGTCTATACACAGTACAGATTAGCTAATGGTGAGGTCTATATCAAAGCGGTATCAGCTGCACAACAACACAAGCCAATGCCTACTTGCAGGAAACCTATCTTAGCTCTCGTCCATTAATGTATGCTAAAGAACAAGAGTTGCTGTTGTCGGTAGTGCAACAATCGTTTAGTGCGTTGTCAACACCGGTGCAACTATAGCCCAGGCCCAAGCTTGGTCCATATTAAACAGTTACTTCGGGGACCCACAACGGGCACCAATTGTATATAGCACGCAAGTCGGCCTTTAATCAATGCGCTTCTCCAAATTGAGTTTAACAATGACGACGGGATCATATAGCTGTTCTTAAGAGCAGACTGGTTAATGGGCGACATGTATACTGGGTTTTCATGTCGCATCCTATCGAAGCGTCTTATGCAGCAGTAAACTAAGGCACAATGGGTGTGAAAGTCTTTGCTTATTAGTGCAGGGAAGGAGCTCTAACTGAACCAACCCAATGAATCATGCCTCCGTTATACTCACGCAGCGTGGACTTTATGGGTACCGCTTTGCTTGGTTTTCTTTGCTTCATACGTGCATGTGACGGTGACTTCTTGGTCTTTAAGTGCCAGCATGCGACCCTTCTCTCCGAACACGACGATCACCTTGACAACGTACACCGGGGTTCCGGCACGTTTCTGTAAAGAACTCATGGGGTTGTATGGTTTTATGTGGCTTTGAGTAATGTCCCAGCAATATTACAGCAGGGGACACACGAAATGGACGTCACATTGTACATATATGGGAAAGCTACGCCTGTTGCGGATACAGCGATAACAGAAAGCACGCATCACAAGGCCAAGACGTGGTAAAACGGCCATGGAGTGCGTGCCTGTGCCCCCTCATCTGGGCAAGATACGGGAATGTACACTTCACTCTAAATGAAAACATTTCTGGTATGCTTGCACCTATAACGTTCATAATCGATTAATATGGAAACCTGTCAGGTATTCTGGCGCATGCATTATAGGGCCAACAGTAGTGTATCGATCCCGGTAACCCCCTAACATGATTTACAAAATCATGGCAGGTGCCCAGGGGTGGGGTAGACTGATGGTTAAAGCATTCACTCCGCACGCCGAAGACCCGGGTTTGATTCCCAACATGGGTACAATGTGTGAAGCCCATTTCTGGTGTCCCCCGCCGTGATATTGCTGAAGTGTTGCTAAAAGCGGCGTAAAACTAAACTCACCGAGAAATCACTATCCGTATGATCTTTATCAATAATCATTTTGATTGAAATCAATACACTTGTCATCACCAAGAAGAAAAATTGGGGCCTGGCACGATTTACGAGAAATAACATATGGCCATGTCCATAGTAAGTACGGTCATTTTCGTCCTGATAATACCTTCTGGCAAATCTAGCTCGTTCATCTATCTCTCTCATCACAGTTAACCTATTTAGTAATATATCTGCTTTGATAATCACTATAATAGCCTGTTCAAGTCAACGCCTACGGAGAGGACCTCACTCACCACAAACTCGCACAAGCTAGAATTCTTTCCCTTGAAGGACACCTGGAGGGTGAGTTTAGCTTTGTTGACGTTGTTGAAGTAGAAGACCCCGTTGGCACACTCGGCTCGGGCCTGGGCCTTCAGGTCGGTAACCACGGAAATGGATGGACTATCGGAGGTGCTGTTTCCACAGCTCGGCTGGACTAAAATACAAGCAATAACCGCCAGGAGACAATTCGCTGTAAGCAACCACATAACACATAGGCATTCATTATGATAATCTAACATAGGTCACACATATATCTTTATTACACTGCAGCGTCCGACAAATATTACCAGTCTTGACCAGTCAATCAAGTGATTGATATTGTGACCAACGACCTTTACGACAAGCACTGGTTGCTAGGTATCAATTGTAATCACCAGGTGACATCTAGACTTGTTTCTACCCACCTTCCATAATGTATCCTTTTGGAAAGACAGCGTTTTGGCCATCATTACCACCGGGGACAATCTGGAATGAAAACATTGTTAACCATTGCATACTTCAGCAAATTGTACACCTTTTTCATCCATATATGGTAATTTATACAGTAGCTTGTTGGAGGTTGCAAGACTGCTTTGAACGGTAGTTCAGTTGTATCACGTGTCTGGCTGATCTGGGAAGAAACCTCGAAGTGAGATTTGTTTGTTTAACGACTCAATGAGCAGTATGACGGTGGTCTGTAAATAATCGAGTCTGGACCAGACAATCCGGTGATCAACAGCATGAGCATCCATTTACGCAGTTGGGATCCGATGACATATGTCAACTAAACCGGCGAGCCTGACCGCCCAACCCCGTTGGTTACACGACTTGCTGAAGACTAGTTCTAACCCAGATCTTCACGGGTAGCTCGAAGTCAGAGGTCTTAGACGTTAAACAGGTATAATAGTCAAAGGATCAGGGTATGGTGCTTTCGAGAATACAGGATCACGAGTGAGCGGTGTTTTTACAGATGGCAATATTCAACTTACACAATGGCACCCTGTATATATTCATCCAGGCTACACACAATGTAAGCAAATGGTAATGGTCTATTCTTACTCCTAATCCTAACGCGATTGATACGCACTGGCCACAAGGCCCTAAAACTAATGGGCTCATTACAAGCGTCGCAGTCTAGACCAACCCTATTCCCCACCGCGCATGTCAATCAAACGAATGTATATTTCTTTGGGAACAGCACTGCCTGTTTACCTGAAATATAACTTAACTCATCGGAAAGGATCTTCACATCCATTTCCACAATGGATGGAGAAAGCTATGAGACATTCACATTTGACCTTTGATTAACAGATGTATGTCTCAATTCTGTTTTACCCGAACATCTGACTTCATGCTCGTAAAGTCAGTACTGACAAGACCCGTGAAGATCCGGGGTAGAATAGGTCTTCGGCAACCCATGCTTGCCATAAAAGGCGACTATGCTTGTCGTAAAAGGCGACTAACGGGGTCGGGTGGACAGTTTCGCTGACTTGGTTGACACATGTCATCGGTTCCAAATTGTGCAGATCGATGCTCATGCTGTTGATCACGGGATTGTCTGGTCCAGACTCGAATATTTACAGACCGCCACCATATAGCTGGGATATTGCTGAGTGCGGCGTAAAACTCAACTCACTCACTCAGTACTGACAATGTCGACTTTCGTCTTATCTGACCCGAATGAATGTCGTAAGATTAACTGGACGTTTCAATATGTGAATGCATACAGCTAAATAAGCAATAATTCATCTACACCACGGAAACATCTACATCAGATTTGGAACAGGTTAAGCAGTCTTTTACAACAAGGGCCTCGATCCACTCGGTCTGGTCTCCAGGGTATGTTGGTTTGTCGCGTTCAGCGATTGCGAATACCTGTCGGAGTTTGGTGTCACAATACAAAAACAATGACTATGGGCGTAACGGGATAACGTTTCACTAAACGTCTATGTGGCGTTAAGAACTCTTTATGTATGTAGTCCAAGGTATCATTGTTCTAACATCATGGGATACTTGGGGATCTATACATAAAGAACTTAATTAGGCACCCCCTGTATTTCTTCTGACCGGTATGATCCTTTGACTCATAAAAAACGACAAAATGATTGGAATCCATGTTCATTTCATGATAATTGCTCATTTAAAAAACATAATACTGATTTTGATACAAAACCATGTCTGTATAAGCATGACCCAGGAATGTTTAGTGTTGAATTTATTTGGCGAATGAACATTCAAAATGTAATTTTGCGTGTCTTAAACGATTCAAGGTCAACACCAAGTGTAACCTCCATGTGACTGTATGACAGCCAGCACTCTCCCCCTCGTAACCCCTGTCAGCCTCCTGATCCTCTGAAGGGGGCAGTCTATGCCATTCATGGTGTTAAAGCAGCTTCCAATCGGGCCATGGTCTGTACGGTGTGCTTAATTAAGTTCTTTGTGTATATGTTGTGCTGGAAGCTAAAGGTGAAGGTCATTCATGTAAATGTAATAAATGTTCAACCCATGCTATGTAGGGGGCGACTTGTGGCTGGGTTCAAGGTTCTTGGCCCTTGCCCTCGGGCGTGGTTCAGAGAGGTGGGCTCAACCCTGGACTGACTGACTGACAGTTTGGTTTTACGCCGCTTTTAGCAATAGTTTGGTTTTACGCCGCTTTTAGCAATATTCCAGCAACATCACGGCGGGTCAGTGAATATTGCCCAGTGTTTTCATGCTCTCATCTTTTTCCGTCCTCAAATTTTCTCAATACTGATACAGCACACGTAGCTAGGAAAAGGCACGACATGAAATTGTCAACATTTTTTTCTCAAATCCCAGACAACCTGTCTGTAATATTCTCCCGCAGAACACCTTCAGACGCTGCCAATGATGAACAATATGGATTATGCCTACACTGATCCTTAAGTTGATGGCTCGAGTACATTTTCGCGTGTCGTATGAAACCCACGTGGTAATAAAGGAGACGTGTTGCAACCAATTCCATTAAAGGGTACATTTATTTCAATAACGGCTTTAGATCATTTACCGTCAACTTAGGTTTAGAGCCTCTGAGTGAGTTTACCATACATGTGACAGATTCCGTTTCGTGTATTTTTGTCATTGTGACCATGTCACAGCAATATTGCTGATGTGGGGATTTTCCCCAATGCATATGCAATATTCCACAGTACAACAGACACGTCTAAATGCCGTCATTTCAGCAGTGATTCGAGCATGCGACAGTAGGAAGCCATAACGAGGTGATGGAAGAGCAACACGACAGTGAACATGACTGCAATTACAAATATGCTTCTCCATTACTTGGACAATGTGGGAAATCTCACCCGAGCCTTCCGCGTGACAAGCGAACGCTTCAACCACCAGGCTACACCACCGCCCCCACTATTGTATTGAGTTAAAATTCACCGTCGCCTCAAATTAATTCAGCCATAAAGCGACGCCACTTTTGTTACGAACGTAAGTCACACGTTGTACTCTGAACCGGCTCTAATGACTACCGTAGGTCGGTTGGTTTGCTGTTTAACGCCATACTCAGCAATATTCCAGCTATATGGCGGCGGTATGTAAATCCAATGATCAACAGCATGAGCATCGATCTACGCAATTGGGATACGATGACATGTGTCAACCAAGTCAGCCAATCTGACCACCCGATCCCGTTAGTCGTCTTTTACGACAGGCATGGGTTACTGAAGATCAATTCTAACCCGGACCTTCACGGGTCGACCCATAGAATTCTCGGAACATGTTCCACAGGAATCCCAACTACTCATCTACTTGGTGTATTGGATAATAGGAATATGTTGCATACATTAGTGAGCTCTGTACTTACAGTAATCACGAGGAGCAGCAGCAGATAACGGGCCATCATTTAATGCTCTGAAACAATAGCAAAAGCATATTGATCATATATACTGGAATGACAGATTAAACCCATCATTAAAAGTACCCCAACTGCATTTCATGTCAACCAAAGTGATACAGGTCTTTAACGTTGACGATTTTAGTCGAGCTCACGAGCACAATTATGGTGCTGAGAATCCATGATTTCCTTAGCAAATCTGGGATTCGAACACGAAAAAAGCGGTACCTGGGTGGCGTTGTATAAAGCGATCTTACCGCTAGGGGGGTCGCAGCCCCTATACCTTAACATGGATTCGTAGCGCTCAGTTTGTTATGTAACAGGCACCCGTGAAGATCCAGGTAATATTTGGTCTTCAGTAATGCCTGTAAGGGGACTTACGGTATCGGGTGGTCAGACTCGCTCTCTTTGTTGACAAATGTCATGGTATACCAAATTGCGTACATTGATGCTCACGCTGTTGATCACTGTACTGTCTGCTCCAGACTCGGATTATTTACAGACGCCGCCATATAGCTGGAATACTGCTAAGTGTGGCGTAAAACTAAACTGACTCACTTAAGCAAAAGGAAATGCTGCATGCGTGTGAATTTAATGCGATTTGGGGAAATGCGGCCTATTGGTTGACTGGGACCATAAATACTGACTACTGTTTTTCACTCATGCACTGAAAACAATTGTCTGTTGACTTCTTTCATAGAATAGTATTTGTTCCGAGATAATTTACAGTCTACACTTGATATCTTGTAAATCATTGTATTAGCCTAGGGAAGACTTACAACCTGTCGTGGCAGATGGGTCATATCCATAGTAAACAGTCACTGTCGTAGTCATAAATAATCATTTAGGTAAATGGAGCGCGTGTATCTTAATTATCTCTTAATTTATTTCGGCATATATCTCTGGCGCGATAATAGCTGTACTTGGGTTTGCAAGTACAAGTATCGACAACCCCTGAAAGTGCGTTGAGGCTGCCCGTGGTTCCATTTCCGTGTTTGTCTAGATTTTACATTGTAATTTTGCAGAATGTTATGCGCGCATGGCTTTATGCAGGTATTATCAATATTCCAGCAATCTGACCACTAAGAACTACAGACTAGTTGTACTGACTGAGTTTGGTTTTACGCCGCTTTTAGCAATATTCCAGCATTATCACGGCGGGTGACACCAGAAATGGGCTTCACACATTGTACCCATGTGGGGATTCGAACCCGGGTCTTCAGCGTGACGAGCGAACGCTTCAACCACTAGGCTACCCCCACCGCCCTAGACTGTAGTTGTATAACTGAAGAGTTGAGCGAGATCACATTGCACGAGCTCGTCAGACGATTTCAATAACTGGCACAGTTAGTAGTTGGAACACTTGATTCCACTGCTTCCGAATGCGACTGTTAATGATGGAATCCCTAAATGACCGAAATAAAGCCGGTGCAGCGTCGAATATCATGTCACTATTTCCACTGTTTTGATTTCCCCCTCGTAGCGTTAAATAACAGAATCATACTTTAACCTTGAACAAGGTAGTAAATAAGAGCATATGCTCATAGTTTCATAAAAATCTAAGTTGTTCGTACATTCGTCTTCAATATTCAACTTCACACATGGAACATTTATTGAGTAAAACGAACAAAAGTCAATGACCAGTAGATCTATAGTATTGAAGCCAGGGAATAAACGGCAAACATCTGGCGTGCACTGAGGGAGTCACTGTATACTAAGACAATTTCCATTTAAACATTTCATAGGCGGACATTAGGGCGCCTGAGTTCTTTCGTTTAAGGACTTAAATTCAGTTGTATGAAACAACTCACCTCCGTCGCAGCTCGTCCTTGACTGTCTGGTGACAACTCCTTTCACGTCTGCTCCCAAATCACGTGCTGCACGAGGTTGTTGTTCCACGTGCAGAGCACATGTTCAAAATACTTCGAAGGCAATATTCGATTTTCGAAGCTTTGAATTTGTGGCGATTCTCACAGCTGAGTTATTGTAAGGAGACATGTATTTTCTGTATTGGAGAATGTCCGGAATCTCACGATTATTTTCGTCTTTTGGCCGAGAACAAGTTTCGCGTGCAAAAAATAATGGCGAGGTTAAGGGCTTTCTCCGGCAGGACTTCCGCCCGTATCCCCCTTAAATTTTAACCATGAGGAAAAGTTTCTTTGAGTGGCATTTTTAAAAGTTGGATATGTCTTTCAGTATGTTAAGATACAATTAAAGAAACATGCTAAAACTCATCCTTACCAGATGAGGAATATATATATTCAGGTGATATGATTCGACTAGAATGAAATTTAAGGTGGATACGGGCGGAAGTCTTTCCGTTTCACTGACACTTTTGAGATGGACGTTAATTAAGATTTTGAGATGTTATCAAATTCTGATTTAAATGCACCTCTAAACTTTGTAGTACAACAAACGTATAAGAATGTTATTTTTCTATAATAACAAACAAAACAAACACGTGATAATTATTCAGTTGTAACTTTCATTTCGAAAGTGTATAAGTTCACAGATAGCACATAGTTAACCCATGTGTACTTTCTGTGAGAGATTTCCGTCAAGGTTCTAGTGGCCTCTGCCGTAGGGGAGACCGGGGTCAATAGTAACACATTTTACTTAACTTCTTGTAATTCGATACTGGGGCGGTGGGGTAGCCTAATGGTTAAAGCGTTGGCTCGTCACGCCGAAGACCCGGGTTCGAATCCCCACATGGTACAATGTGTGAAGCCCATTTCTGGTGTCCCCCGCCGTTATGATGCTGGAATATTGCTAAAAGCGGCGTAAAACCAAACTCAGTCAGTCAGTGTAGTTCGATACTAGTCGACTAGTCGACTAGTCACAAAGTTATCGGTACTAACTGGTACATTGGCATCTTGGTTTTAAACCTCAGTGTCATTTAAAGTTCACTATCATGTCGTTTGAAAGTTATTACGTATAAAATGCAATGACTGCAAGTGTTACAATTGACCCCTAGCACGGGGCAATTGTAAGAGGTGGATGGGGCAATTGTAACAAAGAAGGTTCAAATGTAACAATCTGTTTATTTTCCAAATAAAATGAAAATAAAATGTGGAAAGATGTTATCTTGATCAATTGAGGTGGAAATGGATTAACATTAAACCTTTATCACCATGGACATTTAAAATGTTTTGGTTTAAAATTCTTGTATTGGTATGCCTAAAATATAATACAAAGACTAACACAAAAAGATGTCACCCGAGGGCTAATACTATCAACACAACACTGAACATGTTCTACTATGATAAAACTAGTAAAGAACTAACATAAAACCTTCATCCTAATTTGCTTCATTATCATAACACAAGGGAAAATTACATGGGGGCAATTGTAACACAGTGTTACAATTGCCCCCGATGGTAGTAGCCATGTTTCATGCCACGTCACACGTTAACAACTTTGGGCTTCTCAAATATTTCTACTTCAAAATATGTCGTAATACCTCAATTTTACACTTGTTAATTAATTTCATACCAAGCAACATTAACTGCATTAAGAACCTTTTATTACGTTTTGTGAAAAATTTACTTTCCCATGTGAAAAACGGTTCTTCGTCAACTGTATCTCGCCATGAGCGAGCAGCTGAAAAACGCCTGGATGTGTACCGTAGGAAAGTAAAGGGAAATAACTCTACTCACCTACACTATACTTGAGCGAAAACTTTTAGAGTAATCGCCCTTGTTACAATTGCCCTGTGTTACAATTGCCCCCGATCTCCCCTATAGGTCGGAAGTGTGTGACAAAGCATTTTCCTCGACTTTCTTTGGTCTTCAGTGATAATTCCAGCCATCAGAGGTTCTGTGTACACAATTCAAAACATGGTCATGTTACTTTTGTCGTTTGAAAAAAAAAGTATACCCTACCCCTTATAGCGTAATGAATGACACTTTTATGAACTGGTAATAACTAAACTATACATGATTTTTAGACGATAGAAAGGTTTTACTTTAAAATCCTCAATGGTGGTCAATAATGCCGTCCATGTACGCACTTGACAATCATCAACACAAAAATTACGAATGATTATCCGTGTTTAGTCGGCTACCATCACTAGAACTCTTTGGACAACGATAGTTCCTAAATCTCTGAAAATGTTAATAGAAACGAAACGTAGCTTTCAGCAACGAATAGCTGACGAGTTGTGTCTAGTTCGTTCACTGATCAACTTTACATTAAAAGTCCTGAATCGTGAAGTCAAGTTGCAGTGGTCGACCTAAGGGAATGGCGGATACCCGCAGCCTCGTAAAGACGGCTGATGGTTTGGGCGAGAGATTGATGAGTGAGAGAGTATCATTCTACGCCGCTTTGAGCAATATTCCAGCAACATCCTCACGGGGGGACACCAGAAATAAGCTTCACACATTGCACCCTTGTGGGAATCGAACTCGATTCTTGTGACGAGCAAACACTTTAACCTCTAGGCTATCTCACTGCCCACTGCCGCTTTGGGCAAGAGTATGCGTGCCAATCGGCGTGGTCGGAGGTGAAATGCTTGGCAAGTATCATTAAATGAAAAAGACATTGTCTGCTAATAGAAATACAATATTTGCTTAACTCCGTAACAGTTAGCTTAGGCATAAGACATTATTGTAAACTGTTTGTTTGTGATAGGGAGGTTTTTCCATTTGCATCTGCGAATTCACTTATAGTGTATCCGCTATTTACATGCATGCCTCTTCAGTACTAAACTCAGTCACAATATGTTAGATATCAACCTCGAGACAGATTCCGTTGCACTAACGTCCAAAAGACACTTGGCAGCCGATTTGAAGCTCGATTGCGAAAAACAACAAAACATATATGGCCAACATAAGCGGTATTGTAAACATCAGTATGTGCTAAAACCTTGTGCAAACAGTCCTAACAATACAATGAACAATGAATTAAATATGGCTGGTAATGGCAGTGTGAGGTACACAAAACAGTTTTTCAATACATGTCTTAATGGTCAGCTCGGCACAACATGGCCATACGTGGTGTTATGTGTCAACATAGTAGCGTGCGTGATCTCCAGTGGCTTGCATGCAGCCAGACACTCTCCTCAATTCGTCATTCGCCTAGACCGCCTCCGTGGTGTAGTGGTTAGAGCGTCCGCCCGGAGAGCGGAAGGTCGCGGGTTCGATCCCCAACCGTGTCATACCAAAAGACGTTAAAATATGGTACTTGTTGGTCCCTGCCTGGCGCTCGGCATTAATGGGTACAGCAAGGACTGGTCGGCTCAGAGTCAGTATAATGTGTCGGAGTGGGGTATTCATGCTTCACTGCGGCATGGTATCTCAGTGGGCTAGCACTATAAAACCAGCTTAAGTCTGGGCTAGTACAAGCAGCCGCACATACACATACACACGCACGCACGTCGTTTTCATATGAGAAAAATATTCTCAAGCACGACGTTAAATCCAATTTCACCTCACCTCACCTCGTCAGTCGCCTGATGACGTCACGTGCATGGTATGCGTCGCCATTCTTCATGTAGGGTCGCAGTGAGGCAGTGAGTTCATCCCGGGTGTTGGGAGGTTGTTGTTGTTGCCATCTTATTTGTCGGGCCATGGGATTAAGGACTGGAGGGTGAGCTGGCCGGGGTAACACATGAACATTGCTGACGTTAAAGACATTTTGCAAGACGTTAACAGTATGGGGCCTGGCATTGTCGTGTTGGAACATGATACACTGTGGCTGTTGACGAAGGAATGGAAGTGTTACAGGGCGTACAGCATTCATGTTACCATCAATGATGACCAATGGCGTCCTTTTGTCACCACAAATACTGAGCCTAAGTTTACTATAGCAGTGTAACGAATAATACTGAGCCTAAGTTTACTATAGCAGTGTAACGAAAAATACTGAGCCTAAGTTTACTTAGACTGTGGCCAAAGGGTCATATTTTTTTTACTTTGGTTATTACTTTTTGTGTTTATTGAAACCAAGAATTGAATACACGCACTGCCCCCACACTCACGTTTTCAGTTGTCGAAATTGCAGTTTCTTTGTGCCTATAACTGAATAGCTGCCAATAGGGTACCGAAGTAAAACGTTTCAGAGGTACTCGAAAGAGGTGGTGACAAGCTGAAGGTACATTCAGCACGATCATTAAAAACGGATGCGTTTTTAAGCTGTCCGTCGATTAATTAAGACATGTCATCGATTCCCAATTTCGCAGATCGATGCTCATGCTGTTGATCACTGGATTGTCAGACTCGATTATCTACAGATCGCCGCCATATAGCTGGAATATTGCTGAGTGCGGCCTAAAAAGTTAAATTCACCTTATCTCTACCCACCTTCTATAATTTATCCTTCTGGCGTTTTGCCACCATTACCACCGGGGACAGTCTGGAATGAAAACGTTAACCATCGCAAACTTCTTCAGCAAACTGTTCAACACCTGTTTTATCCATATGATAATTTATATAGTAGCTAAATTTGTATAGAGCTACAGGTAAGCGTTGTGCTCATTGAAATATCCACCCCTCTATAACCAAACAGGAGTCGCGAGTTCCGATTGCCGATGCTACTGTAATGATTGTAGAATTATACAGCTGGAATTGGGAAGATCGGGTTTCCTGTTAAAGTGCTACATACTATCTAGCATAGTAATCCAGAGGTCTCGGTCAGCCTCACAGACGCTGTGACCACGTGACCTGGTCTGGCATTGAAATGTTGTATTTGGCAACACCGGGGTCCCGGGGAGCATGTGCCATCATTAGTAACACCAGCTGATCTACGCGGAAATTCAGTTATAGACACGTTCCTTACTTCCAGTTGAAATTAACATCGCCGAGCTATTCCTGTTTCTCACAGATAATAAGGTGAAATACTATTAATGACTTAAAGAATTATCTGCCACGTAAGAAGGGAAACTGTCATTTAGTTGAGGTGAGGTGAAATTGGAAATTAACGTCGTGCTTGAGAATATTTCGCTCATATGACGACGTGCATGCGTGTGTATGTGTATGTGCGGCTGCTTGTACTAGCCAGACTAAAGCTGGTTTTATAGTGCTAGCTCACTGAGATACCATGCCACAGTGAAGCACGAATACCCCACTCAGACACATTATACTGACTCCGAGCCCACCAGTCCTTGTTGTACCCATTAATGCCGAGCGCCAGGCAGGGACCAACAAGTACCATATTTTAACGTCTTTTGGTATGACGCGGTCGGGGATCAAACCCGCGACCTTCCGCTCTCCTTCCGCTCTCCGGGCGGACGCTTTAACCACTACACCACGGAGGCGGTCACTTAGTTGAGAATATATGTCCTCTCAGTGCACAATGTAGTTGTCGTTGACTAGCATGTTAAACTGGAAACTTGATGTACCTGGTGTAAGGCATGCGACATTGTGGGGATATTTTGTTACGTATTTCTAGAGGACCGTATGGAGTGATGAACCTTTTGAGATGTGGGACATTGTGGAAGGTACTGCGCGCTACTTTATCATAGAGAAACCCAGAAGAGGATGGTGTCTACAGTGATCGAGGATGGTGTCTACAGTGATCGAGGATTGACAAATGGTTGACAGCATGATCACTGGTCACGTGTCAAGGTACGGTGATGCAACCGGCCACGTCGCACCTTGCAGTTACTTAGTGCACACTTTGGCCGGTTCTTCAAAACAGCCGCCATTAGACAAACAAACCCGCGATATTTCCACATATGACGTCCCGTGAAGGTACGGGTTACAATTGGTCTTCAGTAACCCATGCTTGTCGTAAGAGGCCACTAACGGGACCCGGTGGTCAGGCTAGCTGACTTGATTGGCACATCTCATCGTATCCTAACTGCGTAGATCGATGCTCATGCTGTTAATCACTGGTCCAGACTCGATTATTTACAGACGGCGGCCATATAGCTGGAATATTGATGAGTGCAGTGTTTAACAACAAACTAACCAACCAGTCCACTTTTGACTGTTGGTGGAACCGCGCTCAGAAACGTCTGGATATGTAGATTTTCCATAATACACAACTTCGGCCTGCATTCGGAAGTTCCTATTCATTTCCCAGACCCCGAAAGAAGATATTTGCTTGTCTGAATCCTTCGGTCATGGCTACAGAGAATGTATTAAGCCTTGACGTTGATTGGTCGGTTACAAAATTCACCTGGCGCGACCTCTCGAGCATGTGTCTTCAGATATTCACGTATACAGGTATCATAGAGAACAAGATGTCTCCTCGGTCATGGTGCGTTACAAAAATCTCACTTATTCTGTTTCAGACTGTCACTGACATGAAGGTATCCTATATCTCTGTCGTCTGCCTCCTCTTCTCCCTGCTCAACACAGGTAAGTCGCTGGTAACTGTTCCAAACATTTGCACGTGCGACGCCTCAGTGGTCTAGTGGACAAAATGTCTGCCTGGAGAGCTGAAGGTCGACGGTTTGATCCCCGGCTGCTTCATGTACCCTTGTGTGTTCATGTGGCCATATAAGCGCGTCTGTCACGAGCGCGACGTTAAATCCTATTTCTCCAGGGGCCGTATTTATTAAAGTTCTCACAATTAAAAGAACTTTACTCCTAAGTATAGAAAATACTGAGGATTTTGTGAGAGTTAGTCCTAGGTTTGAGAATTTTCTGAAGATCTAGTTATAGAGCCTCTTTACACTTATGAGTAGTCTTAGAGTGAGCGAAAGTCCTCGCACAGTCTACCTAAGAATTTTCATAACTCTACAAAATGGCGGCCACTTTTAAGTGTAAGTCCTAGGTAAGAATTTTTGCGACATAAGAGTATTCTTAAGAAATTTCTGAGAACTTTTATAGATACGGCCCCAGAACCTCACAGCACGTGCATGTTGACAAAGTACTCACGTGGAGCCGTGCACGCGCAGTGTCAGTAAACCCAGTGCTCTTATAGAGATGGAATTGTTCCCAGCTATATTTCTATATATTCGAAATATGTCAGTTTACTGATATTTATGTTATATGTTGCTTGTACATATCTTTCTGCCTTCGGAGGGGCGATGGGGTAGCCTATTGGGTAAAGCGTTCACTCGTAACGTGGGTTCAATTCCCTTCTTGGTACAATGTGTGAAGCCCATTTCCACCACCGTGATATTGCTGAAATATTGATAAAGCTGCGTAAAGCCATACTCACTCACTCATTCATTCCCAGACCTGGATGGCGAGGCACGAGAGATTATCCTGGGTCAATTCTTGGTTAAATGCACGGTTTTGTTGGCGATGTGTTTTTTTTGTTGTATTAATGTCCCTCTTGATACGAGTACCCAATAACACGGGGAAAAAAATCTTTACAAAATCTAACCTAACTTATTATCGCAGTTTCAAGCACAGTTCGGGAACAAGAAAAGAAGTAGCGCTATTTTGCAGAGGAGGCCCTCCAGGGACTTGAAGGTGTCGTCAGTTTGATTAAACCTGCGGGACGTCTCACAGCTATTCCGCTTCATCACGTCACATTAGTGTTCAATTTGTAGGGTGAAAGTGGATGGCTGTGTGCGTGCGTGCGCGTTTTTTTTTTTTGCTTTGTTTTTTTTGTGTGTGTATGTGTGTGTGTGTACGCGCGTGCGTGAGGGAAGAGGGGGGTAGAGTAAGTGCGCTTTGGTGATCTCCAATACTGATGATATGCACATCTAACTGATTAAAACATATACTTAGTCGTATTTCCTCCAATTTGCCCTTCTACGTCTGGCTTGAAACAATAATCTCTTTATTGAGAAGGTAGGAAACAGAGACCGAAGCTCGGACACACATCAAGGGTATATTTCATATAGAGACTGAGATATTCTAATTCTAATTATTCTTATAACTACTCTTACTTGAAGAAGGTCTTAAAAGTGAAATGATATACCATAGTGGAATATATAATCTCCAAAAACAGAAACTTGACATTGGACAGATTTGAATTTTAGGAAAATATTTGACACAAACCAATCCATGCTGAATCCCATCATGTGGGGGAATGGCTGCCGACGACAAAACGTTTGAAAAAAGAAACGTTCAACAAATACGTAACGTTACACTCACGTCTGTAAGGAATCGCTAAAGCGCACCCTACATGGAATGCACGAGCATCATGAAATTGTGTATCACCCTGAGCTGAAGCCTATGACTGTACGCTTTAAAAAGCCACATCAATGGTACTCCACATGCATTGCTTTATGCCACTATGGACGACAAGAGAATGAAGAGACTGGCGGATGCTCAACGACACAACGCCATCGGCCGTTTACAAGGACGGACATCGCAGCATGATGTGGCAAGGCACTTCAGCGTGTCCAGACACTTCAGCGTGTCCAGACAGATCATCTCAAACCTATGGATCCGATACAAAAATACTGGGAGTGTTAATGACAGACCCAGGTCAGGTCGACCTGGAGTTACCACCGCCGCCCAGGATCACTACATAAGGTTGAGACATCTTCATACAAACACATCGGCCGCATCATCCACATCAATCCAGATCTCCGAATCTCCGACCAGACAGTGCGCAATTGGCTATGGAAAGCCAGACTTTTTGCCAGAAGACCAGTTCAACTTCACGTCGTTCCCTACATCAACGTTATCTTTGGAGCATGACAATGCTCTACCTCACGTTGCACGTGTTTGACAGGTCTTCCTCCAGCAAAACAATGTTCAGTTGTTACCTTGGCCTTCTCGATCACCGGATTTGTCCCCCATTGAACATCTATGGGATACTCTTGATCGACGCTTGCGCCAGCGTAATCCGCCACCTCAGACACTACAAGAACTGAACACAGCCCTTCAGCAAGTGTATCAAAACATTCCTCAAGACAGCATTCGGCATCGTCCTTTCTTCTATGGGTCACCGCTGCCAAGCTGTTATCGATGCTCATGGTGGTCACACCAGATACTGACATTTTACTCTGACCAAGTGGCTTTAATAGCCCTCTGTGGTTTTACCAAACACTTTCTGGATAATCATGTTTTGGAAATTTGTAAAGTGATGATTTTACTGTAGCTGAATAATGATGTCATGTTTGAATCAGTTATATGCTCACAGTAAGTAAACTCAAAACAGTATGTCAAGTTTCTTTTTTTTTGAAGAGTATATATATGAAAAGTCAAAGTAAATCTTTTTCCTCAGATGTTGACTGTAACAGTTGAGTGTCGAAGTCGTCGCAAACAATAAAAGCACAAAACGGGAAAGCTTGTTTTTTCTACACTCCTTAACAATTTACGACGAATCATCTTAAAAGACAAAGCCATTTATGACATTCGAAAAGATACGCATCTGTGGCGTTTTCTAGAGGAAACAGTATGTACACAATCGCAACTTTGTTCTGTAGACGGGTGAGTGAGAATCTCATTTGCTGAAGGCACTGGAGGTTTCACGCCCAAGTCTTCTGAACATGAAAGTAGAGTCAGTGTTGTACAGTACAAGACGTGTCAGTATTCTACAACCGTAACACACAACATACCGTATGTGAATTCACACAAGATCAAGTCTAATCATGTTTAAACAGCGTCTCTTGGGTTTGCCAACCTTGGCATTGCTTAATGATGGATTTTCACCGGTAATTATATTTTCTTATCCTAAGGGACATCAAAACGAACACGCCAGCATCGCAAACGTATTTACAGTCGCCATCAGTTGTGGAGGAGACTTTCTGTCATCAGTGGAGACCCTCGCGAGACATCCTCCGTATGTCAGTCGTGGGATGCTATGTAACATGCTACTGGTCTGAATCATACATCAAGGGGGCGACACTCATATTGTGTTAAAGACTCCACAAAAGGCATACTAAATCTCCCCTAGGGACTGTCAATATATCTAATTATATTATAAATATTAAATCTTAAGTTTGTGGACTTCACAATCTATAACCTCACCAATGCGCTTGTACAATACTATATCTTATTATTTCTGGATTAGTTTGCGCTATATTGTAATTCTCAGTATACAACCCAGGAGTGAGTATGTGAGTGATTTGGTTTTATGCCGCTTTCAGCAATTATTTAAAAAAATAGGGCCTACACATTCTGATCAGGACCCACAACTATTGTTTATAGTTCTGGGCCTTTACGGCCGGTAGCCTATCAGGGTTAAAGGAAAAAACTGGAAATATTATTTAAACTAGTTCTGTCCGTTCTGTGGATATATCAAGTGTCAGTTTGAACTTAACACAGTGTGTGTGTTACAGGTGAAGGTGGCGTCATATCCCAGAAACAAAGCCGGCGATGGACACCAGCTGAGCACAACCCCTTCAAGGTGGAAGTGTGCTACACACGCTGCAGTGAGGAGTGTGGGGGCTACTGCCTCTTCGACACCGCCCGGTTCCGGATGAAGTGCATGTGTAGCGGAAAACGAGCCAAGTATATATACTGAATCGCATTCGGAACTCCTTGGCTTCAGATGACTGCATACGGAAACTGCCAAGGATTACCGAAAACATGACCGTGTTGTGTGAAAACTGCATCGTGTGTGGTTTGTTCTTAAATTCCCTTGCTTTTTGTTGGGTTTTACCTCAAAACATTCAATTTATTTATCTGGATCAATCTCTGGACCATTGCAGTACGTAATAGCACTTCATGCCATCTTCTAAAGTCGGGTCATCTACCTCGGATATTCGTACTTGTATTGTATTGACTGTGATGCTTGAATACATTCGCTTGGTTTACTTTTGTCTCCAGTTTGTTGTATTCCCCTGTATTCCGATAGTTACAACCAATCATGTAAAGCGCCGCAGTTTGTTGTGCAGCAGAGTTGCGTCCCTTGGGAACGTCAAGCACTTACGAATCCCAGATAGACTCGATCTGACTTAACGCTTGTCAGCGTTGAAACCGGATTTCAGAATGGTAAATGTCTAAACCATTCTTTACGTACGCTGCCCCCAGCAATGTTACATCTACCTGACAGAGGTCTGTAAATAATAGAGTCTCGACCAGACAATCACAAAGTGATTGACATCATGAATAGCGAACTGCTCAACTGGGATACGATGGCATACATCAACCAAGTTAGCGAGGCTGGTTCCAATCTCATTAGTCGCCACTTATGACAAGCTAGTTCTACTTGTTCTGAGGCGGTTTACGCCGAAGGTCTGATTTGATTCGCTTCATGGGTACCCGTGAAGGTCCGGGTTAGAATGAACCTTCAGTAACCCATACTTGTAATAGGCGACTAACGGGATCGGGTGGTCAGGCTCGCTGGCTTGGTTGACACATGTCATCAGTTCCCAATTGCGCAGATCGATGCTCATGCTTTTGATCACTGGATTATCTGGTCCAGACTCGATCATTTACAGACCGCCGCCATATAGCTGGAATATTGCTGAATGCGGCGTAAAACTAAACTCACACTCACTCACGGGGACGATGTTTGAAGTACATTTCTGGTGCCCCTCGTTGTGATGTTGTTGAAATATTGCTAAAAGCGGCGTAAAACCATTCATTCACGGTCTGACTGCAAGACTATGTGATGTAAGTATGTCTATCATTCCGTAAGAATGAAGAGGGCAATTTGGGCATGTTTTTCCATCTGTGGCTTCGCAGATCTCCTCTGTGAAAAAAGCATTAATATTCAATTCTTACAACTTTGCTCTTTAACAATTACAAAATTTCAAGTGAGCTTCAGAACATTGTAGCTTGCTGCAGATACTGCCCTTGACGTCATCTGACATGTTCCACAATAGAGCGATACCAATGTTTTCCTGAAGAGCATGGAAATTGTAGGACATGAATTATTCCACAAACCTCGTAGAGACGTGTAACTTTTGGCAGAATATGAACACACTGCCTTAGGAACATGAATATCCGATATCATCAAAACACTAATGTCATGAACACTTCCGACAGAGAAATCTCATGACCAGCAAAACATTCCCCATCCTCGATAATCTCCAGGGTATACGCTAGTGGAGAGTGATCGTAACGTATACCCTGGAGATTATCTAGGATGAACATTCCCGAGTTGAATGATATCAGCAAAACAAACACACACAAACAAGAATAATAGCAGCAGAATAATACCAGCAGAGACCATAAAATAGATTATTATATGGTCTCTGATACCAGTAAAACATTCCTAAACATGACTAATACAAGAAACATTTTGCCGGCCACGGATAATACCAGCATGAGTACACTTCCATCACGGATATTATTCAATCAGAACACGTGACTTCCATCATGACTTCCGGTCCTCAGCTACCAGGCCAATGTCACGTGTGTTCTTGGTGTGAATGTTGACACTGTTTAAGTACACCAGACACATGAATCAAGGCATCCATTGTTTATCCAGTGATACCAGATTATTGTTTTACACAGCTTCCGGGGGATATTGAAAATCATGTAAAATATATCTGAAGAACGTGGACTTGATCAAGGTTACAATACTGTATATATTACCTGTCTTCTTGCCACAGCACGACCAACTCTGACGTGTAGACCAATCAGAGACACATTGAAGAAAACGCTGATTATTTATCACTGCTGGCCGACAAGTAATATAATAATAGACTTTAAATGTAAATTAGGCAGAAAATATAACTGGGTTAAGGAGAACATCTGGTAGGTATAATTTCCGAATGAAATGATTTATCAAGGCATTAAAAACACCCCAGTATATTTCTTTGTACAGGGCCACACAAACTATAACTCATTAACAAACAAATTCATTTAAATTCCCTCCATTAAAAGGCAGCATGTCGTTTAGACCTGTGAACATCTATGTTACAGTTGGTCTTCAGCAACAAGAGGTGAGGTGAGGTGAAATTGGGTTTTACGTCGTGCTCGAGAATATTTCGCTCATATGACAACGTGCATGCGTGTGTATGTGTATGTGCGGCTGCTTGTACTAGCCCAGACTTAAGCTGGTTTTATAGTGCTAGCCCACTGAGATACCATGCCGCAGAGAAGCATGAATACCCCACTCCGACACATTATACTGACTCTGAGCCGACCAGTCCTTGTTGTACCCATTAATGCCGAGCACCAGGCAGGGACCAACAAGTACCTTATTTTAACGTCTTTTGGTATGACGTGGTCGGGGATCGAACCCGCGACCTTCCTCTCTCTCTGGGCGGACGCTCTAACCACTACACCACGGAGGTGGTCTTCAGCAACAAGAGCTACAGGGAGCGGGTGGTCGCGTTCACTGACGTGGTTGTAGTGTGTCGCACTGTCCCTGTTTGTTGTGCAAACGCCCTAAGTGAAGCAAGCTTAGATTCTATCTAGGTTATGAATCTCTCATTTCGAATGGTCTCCTTTTCAGTTCAAACTGATTAATTTGTTATATATTTCCAGAGTAAGCGTTAGTAAGTTGCTCTTGATATCAATCACTAGATTGTCTGGTTGTCTCGAATATTTACAGATTGGAGTCATACAGCTGGAAAAAGTAGGCAACAGTGTTGATATTTGAACATTGTCGATGAGCAATTGAAAAGGACGTCGGAAATACAAACACTAATATGCGAAATATTCTATATCACTGAACTATATATCATGCTCTACAAACGTTACAGGAAGATATGCCAAATGTAGAGCTTGTGAAAATATAAGACAGACAATAATGAGACCGTTACAATACAGGATACAGGTCCAACGAGTGAGTGAGTGAATTTAGTTTTACGCCGCTTTTAGCAATATTCCAGCAATATCACGACGGGAGACACCAGAAATGGGCTTCACATATTGCACCCATGTGGGGATTCGAACCCGGGTCTTCGGTGTGACGACAGCACCAACGAGTGCAAGGACACGGAAACAGATTGTCAGACTCAATCTTTGGGACTAATATCACTCTGTGTGGATGGAATTGGAAGATCATAGTCAGTATCACGTGTGACATTGGAATACGTTAATCTTGTCATTACACGTCCATTCTCCTCCGAGTCCGTGCATTAAGTCACGTATGTTTGCAGGTGTGTGTGTGTGTGCGTATCTGTATGAGCGAACTAGCCATTGCAACAATGTTGAGGCTACTGATCTGCAGACAGACAGTTTATATTTAATTCCATTTGAAAACGATACATAAGTTACCAAAATGTATATATACTACCAATCCGTTCTACTCTAGACGGGGCGGTGGGGTAGCCTAGTGGTTAAAGCGTTGGCTGGTCACGCCGAAGACCCGGGTTCGAATCCCACCATGGGTACAATGTGTGAAGCCCATTTCTGGTGTCCCCCGCCGTGATGTTGCTGGAATATTGCTAAAAGCGGCGTAAAATCAAACTCAGTCAGTCAGTCGGTCTATTCTAGACATGCTGACTCCTCAATTAGTGTTCATAAAACGGTTCTAAATTACAGTTCCAGTTTACACAAACGACCGTCCTCGTATCGATATTCAAATTAGCAACGTGACGTCTATATATATGTTACCAGTCTTTAGAACTTGTCACGTTTTCATTATTATATATTAACATTGTCAAAACCAACATAGTATTAACAGTTACATATCTAACTTAATCAGATTGTTACCTATCATAGTTATTGCATATGTGTTAAAAGTGACGACATATTAGCTGTAGTCATAACCAAAGACAGAATTTATTTCGACCAACCGCTCGTTCATGGCAACACGCATGCATGGAAATGAGTAACACAAAGTGAGGATTGCTGTACCAGTGCGTGATCGTGGTCAGGTCTCGGTATTACACTCATCGATCATATTGCTACATCACCATCAGTACCGAGCACCTGCCACACGACCCCTGTGTGAGATGATAAGGACACTTGTTAATTCATTTAGTAGATGTACACATTCACCCTTGGACATATCGAGTCGCAACACAAACACGCTGAGTATCGGAGTCAATATTACACGACCCCTCTCACTCAAAGGCATCGTACGTCTAATCCGGGGTTACCTCCCTTGGGTTAGATTGTTGACAGAAAGATTCACCTGCGGAATACGCACATGCAATGCTCCATTACCGCGTAATCCCTGACCGCCAAAACACAACAAAGAGACCTCACGTCAGTGACGTGGGGCGGCAAATGTTTGACAAAGACTTACCACCCTGGGTGAAATCGAAAAACCCAATTAACTTGTTAAAAGTGTTATGTTTTTCACAAAATTGTTATTTTTTTTATTGTGCGTAGTAATGCACGTGAGATGTGAAGTTACATGTGTGATTAGCAGTTGGAAAAGACATGACTCTGAATAAACTTCAGAGAGATCTAAGGGGTTACTCTCTACTTTTAACTCATCAAATCCGTCTGTGCTGTGAATATTAATGTAGGTACAACCGTTCAATTACAACTCTCGTGCAGAAACCACAATATACAGTTCCCTTCACGTCACCTGCGATTTGCCATATAAAGTATATGAATAACATTAAACAGGCGAAAAGAAATGTGATCGTACCGTCGACTGAATTATCTTATATTAAACGATTTAGACTGATTTACGGATATTAAAAATAATATGAATTTATGCATCTATGCACACAGTGAGGTAAAAAACGCTATCCTTTGTCTCGAGTTAGTTCGAGACAACCAGAGTGACAGTATTAGGCCGTATTGACCTTGTATACTGAACATATCAGGTGAAACATCTTTAACTCGAACAGTGTTAAGGTATATCATGTAAGACGAGGTAAAATACCCTTGTGGAAACGTTGTTTTATCATTGAGTGGCTCGGACGGGATTCAGTGGCACCGCCGAGATATGATTCAGTTAATTTACATTACAATACGTTGATCGCCATGATTAATCTCTCTATACCTGAAGCTGGTTAGATGTACTGTCTACATGTCGGCGTTTAAAACTCATGTTCAAATATTTGATACCAACAGACCCTGAGGTTTATATTCTCCATGTCGCTATGGTTGAATATCGAACATCCGTTCTTCCGACCTGCGTCAACAGTTCAGGTGGTTTCACAACACGTAAGTGACAACTGGCACGTTTATCAGTCCCTGCCCGAATATTCCCAACGCAAATTGTCGCGGAATACACACTAAATTACGAAATATTCCGTTACAGTAACGAATTCACGTATTGTCAACACGATACCCTTCTAGCCTTGCTCCAAGGCTGTATTGAATGATCCATGGGTATTTAGTTATTCTATCCATATAACGGGCATGCGGACAGTAGGTCTAAGGACGCAAGTCTTTATGAGGGCAACTTGTTATTATTTATATATTCTAGAAATAATTATTTAAATAAAAATGTACTGCATTAGTCACTTGTGCAAGTCTATAAATATGCTTTCTCCGTCTCTATTGCATGGACACCGAGTTGTGTCCATGTGAGTTCCGTGAGCTGTATACGAAGCATATTTCAGAATAACAATTACAGCGTAGAAAATATATTCAATCTGAAGGCGTTATGCCCACAGCGTGCAGCGTGCAGTTATGTGATTAGGCAACACAGCGGTAGTTGTGGGACTGGCTTTCTGAAAGCGGAAAAGGGATCGTGATAGAGTACTATATAGAAGACGTCAGTTAAACAAGTTTCAAATTGAAAGTTTACTGAAAAAGAGGATCTTTGAAATTCTGCAGTGCGTCGCAGGGGTGGCCCAGCTTGAAACACTTGTCGCCCTACCAGCGCAGGTATTTACCTATCGGCCGGAGTACACTGACGAGTGGCTGGCGAAAGGGGGACGGCTCTGTCGTGACGTCATGAGTAAATCATTTTAATCTCCCCTACAAAGCCCTGATAAACAAGTTGGTTTTGCCTCTTACGGGTTAGTGAGGACCATTAAACTAAAGGAACTGTTTCTTTTAACTTATTGCTCTTTTAAGGCGAACAACGAAAAGAACAAAACGAGCTACACAACACAGTTAATTAGAAAGCTTCCACTTCAGTCGCTGGAGCCTAATCAGCCGCCCTCTACTGGACAAAAAACACTGTATCCATCTACAAATAGCCAGAGCGCAAAGTGGCGGCTTCCAGGTGATGATGAAGCGGGGAGGCGGGGAGAATAGCATTGTTTAGTGCGACCTCGGAGGACTACATCTGTAATTATATGGGTGATTAAAGATGAAAAGATACAGACTGTCTTATATGCCTGAGCTGCGGGTCGTGTCTTCATCCAACGACAGTCAGGCGTAACAGAGACAAAGGTACTTGAAGCACGATGTCCAGTTTAGTGTCCGCGTTGTGTGTGTTGCTCGGCACTGGGTTACTATGTCAGGGGAAGATTCTTCTTCTACATGCTGCCAATTCAAAGGGAGAGCATACAATCAATTCCCGTTCAAACTCCACATCAGGGAGGACTGTGCATTTCGGAGACGGAGAGAGCATTTCACTGACATTCTGCTTACGAAAAGACTTTAACTGGGTAACCGTGACGGGTGTGCTCTTCTCGAATGACGGACTTCAAGACAGATGCTCCATCAAAATTGACCGTACTGTTGTTGGATCATTCATGTCCAAAAATGAGAGCAATTTTGGTCATTTATGGAACGTTTTCCGGAATAGTGGACAGATTGGGAAAGGAATCGGACTTTACCACGGAGTTCACACTATGAATATAGTATGTGGTTCACCAGATGGTGTCGAGGTCGACGTCGTGAAATTACAGATATCGGACAGCGTCCTTACTCAAGATGTCTTTGACTGTAAGCTACGTTGTCAGGCAGAGTCAGTCATGAAGAAGCTTGGCAAACCCAACCTCTACAAAAGGAACGCAACCGTCTCCCAGCGCAGCTACATAACCAAATGTGCCGAAGAAGACAACGTGCACGTTCCCCTATACATGGCCAACATCGCCAACTACACTCTGACAGCTACTCTACCGATGTACCCTTCATTCTCCAACAGGCGAGAGCCGGATGAAAACAACTGCCCTTTTCTACCGCCAGTTCACTGGAGTTTTAAAGATTTTAAATTGTCTGCAAAACATGGGAAGCTGTATACCAAAGGAGCGGAGCTAAGGTTGTTTGGAAACAACAAACAAATTATGCAAACATCCGGTTTGGAAGCCAAGTTTGACCTTGATGGCCCTAGCCGTGGCCATATTGACTCCGAGATAGGGTCAATTATGGTGCTGAAAATCCGTCCAGTGAAATTTGCAATTTTACTAAACGCTACATACACAGGGAAAAACAGGGACCTGACGCTCCTGGACATCAAATATCTCCTTCCTGGACAGAGGGAGGTGGTTTGGAACTTTCCGGATTTCACATGGAGCGAGTTCCGGAAGAACTATGTGTCGCTGTCCTTACTGACTCTCTTTCCGGTGGAGGTGCACGTGGAAGAATTCCGGATGGAGAGACGCTACATGAAGCCCGACAGGCCATTTTTTATCTACAAAAGTGACGAACTCGTAATTGAAGGTGTAGATGTTGATTTCTGGTGGCGTGAGCCTCAAAAAATGAAAATGCGACATCTCGACAGCGGAAAAACGTGGGCAGACGTCGACTATTTCAGGATTTCGCGCCCGGTGCCGTGGGCGAAAGGATATGCACAGGTATTTGTGTTATATCAAGACGGAAACGCTCGTCTGCTGCAGCTACCCCCTGCCGGTTTAGATTGGATTCCGTTCGGTTCGTCCATGATTCTGGGTACAACAGATCCCACGTCTTTCCGACCGGCGTCTCCTATTCATCGCGTGGACATCCTGCGGTCTCTTACAGACGACGTGTCCATGGACTTGCACTACTATGACGGTGGATATGCCCGACTTGACCTTCACGTGGGAATGGACGAGACGACCCTGACAGTGTCCAACATCCGGTACAAGAACACCGCCTACTACCCATTTGCTTCGTTTCGCTCCATGTACATCGAGGACGGCAACTCCGACTGTGACCGCGTGATGGTTGATGGCGGCGCCATTTACAACATCATGGACAAATGGCGGGCAGTCCAGGGAAGGAGCTTCACCTTCTTCAGACAGTGTGAGTCCAAGCACCTGACCCTCAGCCCTGACATCAGAGTGGACATCACGGGACTCTATGGGGAATAGACCCGAACATCGGGCCACTCTGGCCATAACTAGAAATAACGCTATGAGTCAGATATTCACTGTTTAGGATGTAACATGCCACGCTTGACTTTGCAAAGAAACTTGACGTATTTTACCGAGGCTTATTGAGATATGCTTAATCATTGTTCTCTATATTTGAAATGGTTCATTCCGAAACTTTAAATGCCGATGTAGTTAATCCAGTCTTCCTGCACCGGCTGAATAGGACATAAGAAACAAACCGAACGTTTTATTATTTAATTCCATATTTAGTACATATTTATTATTTGACAGTTGCATATATACAGTTGTTTAAAATGTGTAGTACAATCAATCAGTAGGAAATGAATATATTTCCAGATATCGAGGTAATTGCTGTTTGTAGGTGTGTGTGAGTGTATATATATATAATACAATACATACGTCATCAGCGTGAAATGTAAACGTGGACAGACGCTCAGTACGTTTTCAGTCATGAACAGTTTAACGGATCACATTCGTCTGTCTGGATTCTAAGCTGGTTACACAATTCTATTTAAGGTTCGGTCGTATTCCATATTGCGGTCAGGGTTCGGCTATTTATACCGTAGAGGAAAACAATCAAATTTTGACTTGGTTCGGGACAGGCAATTAGTGAAACAGCGGAAAGTGGTCATTAAATATTACAAATAGACTGTCGGGCTGGTTAAGATCAAAATGGGGTGTTCCTTAACACTTGCTCATAAAACAATAATTGCTTTGTCAAAATTACTTCTCATGAAGCATAAAACAATTTAACTAACTCTTAGAGTATACATTATACTGCTTCTATTATCAAGAGTATTATTCTAAGATGGCTGCTGGCGGCCATCTTGAATGATGATTTTCTCCTATGCCGCGTGTCCCGACGTTTGGATGTTTGAAACAATGACACCACAGTGTCCTACGAGTATAGACAGTCACAATGGACGTTAAATTTTGAGAGTAGCATAATACTCCAGTTTACTTCATCAGTGCTATCTGTGGGTGGGCACAGTGTGTGAAACCCATTCCTGATGTCTCCAGCACGTAAACATCGCTCACAATAATTATGTGGAAATTGTACAAATGTTTGATATTACCAACTATATTGCATCGGAATAAACCGAAAAAGACGACCAGGCCTCGTTCGTTTTCATTAAACAATACAATATTACCTTTGCGGATCACTGCATCACATAACAGTCAATGTTGGATACGGACAAGGTATTAAATACGCGTCAACTCAAGATGTAACATAGCAACAAGTAACTGATGCTTATATGTCTTTGAAAACGCAGCACACACACAACATATCCAGTTACTGCTCAGCCAAAAAAATCTGAAAAATTAAAGAATGACAAAATTTTATTCCAGAACTGGCATCGCGTAAAATCTGGGTTTGAATGCATTATAAAGACAATGAACAGACCAGACGAACATGTGTAAGTGCCACATTGAAGCCAACGTTGCATATCTTGCATGGTCATATGATCGAATGTAACCGTATTAGAATCAATGACTGGATTGTGTTGTACACTGGCGACTAGGGAAGATACAATTCGCATGTACGCTATTCAAAAGAAGTTAAAAAACCCATTATATTCTTTCATTTGAATATAACTAGTCATGGCATGATAGGTTAACTGCAGTTACACAAAACAAACGGGTGTACTTCAGTCTAACTCAACTTAAGCTGGCAGTGTAACGAATGATGGTGAGCCTAAGTTTACTTAAACTGGGGTGTACTTACTTCTTTCGAGTAGTATATAATATACATCACAAAATACTCCTAATGATGCGATATATACCTACGTATTTTCCTACCCGTGAAGATCCTGGTTTGAATCGGTCTTCAGCAACAAATGCTTGTCACAAGAGGCGACCAACAGGATCGGGTGGTCAGGTTCGCTGACTTGGTTGACACGCATCCCAACTGAGTAAATTGATGCTCACGATATAAATCACTGGATTGCCTGGTCCAGACTCGATTATTTACAGACCGCTGCCACAGCTGGAATACTGCTGACTGTGGCGTTAAACAACAAAATTCATTTATCGATTCATGTTTCATGTTTGTATCAATGTTTAAGAAAATAACTTACTCGGTATCTACTCAGGCTGGTATTCCTATACCACATTGAATACAATGCCACATACGACTGCCTAATGCAAATAGAATGACCCAAGAATGATCAATCATTGCAGTTAAACACATACCGGAGAGAATCGAACCCCAGACCAAAGGTTTTGGGCATGGCTAGAAGACGCAACACTACACAGCAAACTAAGGCACTTTCGACGACGGGGCAGGCCATACCCTCGTCCCATGACTAACTGACTGAGTTTGGTTTTACGCCGCTTTTAGCAATATTCCAGCAACATCACGGCGGGGGACACCAGAAATGGGCTTCACACATTGTACCCATGTGGGGATTCGAACCCGGGTTTTCGGCGTGACCTCGTCCCATGAAGTAACAAGTCTCCAATACTGCCAAACCGTTCAACAAACATCGTGATGATCATGTTATGTCGTAAACCCATGCTGTCGTAAGATGCGATTTGCAGGATCTGATGGAAGGTTCCCACATTTGGTTGACGGTGTGTCATCCAATCACACCGATAATCACATCATTAACTTGTTGGGTGCAGACTCGATTATTTACAGACCTCTGTCGAAGAGTTAGAGAATTGTTGAGTATGGCATTAAACAACGATTTAAGCCGTAGCAATTTATAGAGTTGTCACGAGATAATATTTCCATCTTGCAGGAATATGTGCAGCTTCATAAAGACATGTTGAACAGTATCGAAGACGCCAGGCCACACACTCTGACACGGCGATTCTCATCTTTCAGCCTTGTTACCATTGGGAATCCCATCTATAGGCGGATATGCTGATCGCCACAGACTTCCTCATGTCACTGCCTGGATATAGATGAGGACCAGACTCATTATACACCTCGCACCATCTTCTCAGTGGTATACGGTCACTGACTGATAAAGCAGACAAATATCAATCGAGATAGTTTTCCACGTTTTATTAGAAACAAAATACCAACAAAAATAGATAGTAAATACCATAAAGATCTGCTCTGAGACTACCTAGTTTCTCTCCCGGTTATATCCCGGAGACTGTACACTACAGTTATATCATACAGTTTGAGACAGGGACAGTAAGTGGAAGGATTGACAGATTATAAGATTCTTCACAACCAGTCAGTTAATACCAGTATCGGGATACAGTCTTACATAGCATCTGTACATTAGAAGTGGGCCGACGAAGTCGTTGTCACATACCGATGTTGTTAATAAATAGCATACAGTATGACCAAGACAATAACTATAGTTTAGACACTGTCCTTCACAGCTCTTCCCAATCATCATGGGGGCCAGGCTTTATCTACATTGAAACAATGACATTGTTTCAGTGGAAACCTAAAGACAACAGTTTTAGGCCACTTTAGCAATATTCCTGCATTACCAGGCAACGGGTGAGAGGCGGCTTAAAATGTGCTTCAAATGCATACATCAATGAGAATCTACGTGGGACTACCCTGGGACCTATGGGCGCCACACACTATCGCACTGGCCTTGTTCAATCAGACCTACCTCGCACTCTTGATATACAAAATACATTTTGTGCTGACAGACTACAAGCTTTGTTTGAACCACAAAAAGTTAAGGGTATGTCAGTTTTCTCGACATTGTGTTCCTTACAAAGAAGCCATTAGATGAATGCTTAGCGAAAAGTAATACCGAGGTCACAACTGTTGTTGATTCTTGTGTGCAACTGAGGGATTGTCATTAAGCATTTATTGCAAGTGGGATGTGTTAGACCTTGACTAAAATACTCTTAGAATCCGATTCAAACTGCCAACTGTAAATGAGCTTAATCATGCCCTCTGTAAGATAAATAGCCAGAGACAGACAAAACTTCTGAAACCGATTATCAAAAGGGGATTTACTAACTAATCAGCAGAATTGCAGTCCCTGTGAACACTGCACTAAGATCAAATATCAAATATCATACAATGGACCACAATGCATTGATCTGTCTGGTAATGTGAAGTATTTTGTTTCCCTTTTATTATAGAGCAAAACCCAAGCTAAACGTACTTCCCGAAGCAACAGATACCCCATAGATGGGACGTTCTGTTATGATGCCAAGTAGTCTGAGAGCAAATAGTCTGCAGCTAAAATATCTTGATTAAATCAGGATGCCTTTCCCAGGTCAATCTTTTTCTGGATGGCTCTAGCAGAATGGTAGATCATCCCGTCTAGGAGACCAGCAACTGTAAAACAGAGACACAATCAATGGATCGGTACATACAGGTGATGAGTGTGTGTATAAAATAATAATGAGTGAATTTATAAAGCGCTAAAATACTCCAGTGTCTGCTCTAAGCGCTATGATGAGTATATACACAGTATTTAAAACAAGCAGGAACAAGGAAATCTAGCAGTGATAGTATTTTCGGAAAAGGAATGTCTTTACATGAGATTTGAAGTTGTTGGTGACAGTCTGATATCATGGGGCAGAGAGTTGATGTTGGATGTTGATGTACCACCATTGTCAGCAATAATATTCCAGCTGTATCAGGCTGCCTTCAAGCAACAGCGAGCAAGTGAGTGAGTTGGGGGCAACTTTTAGCAATATTCCAGCAATATCACCGTGGGAAACCAAAAATGGACTTCACACATTGTACCCATGTTGGGAATTGAACCTGTGTCCTTGGCATGATGGGTACCAGTATGTTTTAACCACAAGGCTGCCCTGTAAATAATACCCAGGGTCAGGTAAATCACCCTTTGATAACACCCGGCAATGGTTCAAGCTGCCAGTGCATAGTCATTTACAATCAGCCATCATATATGATATTCAGCCCATTGGCATTGCATGCATGGTGTACTGGGGGTTGGGGTGGCCTCAGACCCATGATACCAAGGCCCTTTCCACAACGCCATGGTTACATAAAGACTGTCCCTCACATACTTTAGTATCACATTATAACAGTTGCCAAGGCAGTGAGCGAGTTAACTGTTATGCCACTTTTAGCTATATTCCAACAATATCATGGTGGGGGGACACCATAAATGGGCTCCACACATTGTACCCATGTTGGGAATTGAACCCGGGTCTTCCACGTGAACGCTTTAACCACTAGGCTACCAACCCCACCCCTCAGGTACTCAGAGGTACAACAGGGATTTAAGGTTGCATTCAAGATCACTGCCCTTATACGTGCATATCTATATGTGCAGGTGTATGCATGCATGTTTGTAGTCGTAACTAAGAACCAGTATACTGCACTGTTCAATGTACTCATCCTTACTCAAGCCCTGTGCATTGCTAGCTTCTGGATAATGACTCCTTACTCCTTAGGGGTTATTATGACTACTCAGTGGTGTTGTGTATTTACCTGTAAATACTCCTCCTATTATTGCACAAACACCTGTCAGAAAATGCATGAAGGATCTGAAAGTAAAAAGTAGTGGTCAGTAAAATTCAGCAATACTAGAACTACTTGGCTGTGGAATCATCATAATACAAAGTCATTCACATGTAAACAGTTCCTGTTATTGACAGAGGTATGGGGCCCAAGATTAATGCACACCCCATCACTGGTACAACCCACAAGTCACACGGCCTTGTTGCAAATTGCAGCTATGAAAAGGAAAGCTGTCCAAGGGAGACAACTCTTGTGAGCTCCCAGACAGTGAGTGTTGACACATCTTCACAATAGCCAGTATCCAACAGTATAGTCTGTCTCACAGTCCCTGAACCACATTATTTTCCCTACTGTCAAGCCCTCTCTGCAGTGCTAAAGCCCTAAATAAAGCAAGTCTAAATTTCCTCAGGTTCTGAATCGCTGGTGTCCCTGGGGCTCCTTTTCAATTCCAATGGGCTTGTTTGTTACTATCAAAATTATATATATTCAGAGACTAAGCATTAGTCTATCAACAGTATTCAACATACATATACCCGTCCTATACAGAGGTAGATATATTGACATATTGTTGAGTGAGTGTGGTGTTATCCTACTTGAAGTAAAAGGCTTCAGATATCACAACCCATATGAGGACTCAAACATAAGTTACTGGTACATTGCCGACAGCAGCATTAAACAACAAACAAAACAAGCCAAACCTGCTCCTGAATGTCTTTCAGTTCATCAGATGACATTTCATTAAAACATCTACACATGTCAGGGGGTGGAAATAACTTTAAAATTGCTAGTGTACTCCGGTACAGTGTCACATGTAAAATCACTTGCCCTGATAAGTCTTCCACTATACCGGCCGTTTTCTTGTTGCTTTTTTAAATAAACAACATAATTAACATTGGAATATCAACTGGACACCGGTACAGTGTGATATACAAATTTGCTTGCCCGACAGAAAAAAACACTGGACTCGGGCGTCGGGCAATGGGTTATTTCCACCCCTGCATGTAGGTCTACATTAAACATTATTTATCTAGAAACTACTGATGCACACATAACAGAGCCTCTATTATGTAAATTTGTCAAGAGACTTGCAGAAGAGACTAAAGTTTATTACAAAAATCAGCTAGATATGTTGTCAACAGTTGAAAAAGCTAAGACAGCTCCTGGACAAACGTTGCTTGTGAGGATGATATTCAAATATATTCTGCATAAATACTAAAGTGCTCAAATCAAGTTTCAAATATTGCTAAATATATTCCACCCCAAACATATACCAAACATTATATAATTTGAGTAAAGGACAATAAAATAAAAAAAATTTAATATGGCTGCCATGGTGGCAACATTAAAAATTACATTAAAGCTTCATTAACATATCCAAGTGTCATCAATATTTGGAACAAGTGTATTATGCTCCAGTTTCACTGATCCAGTGGTTTCCGAGCAAAATATGTTTTCTGTTAATAACCCAGGAACAAAGCTGAGAATGGTTAGTAGTTTTCCCTAAGCACATACCTCTGTTTTTCTGTATATTTAACCATCATAGGTGAGAGCTCATACATGAAGAAGACTCCTGGCAGGCCACTCTCCCCTGCTCCCCCAGCCACGGTCTTGGAATGTTTGGTCACTGAGAACTGATTGGTGTGCAGCGTCTGGAACAACAGTCAAAACTTTGTACCTATCTTTGAATATCAAAGTAATTTTGTTTTAATCTCAAACATTTTGACTTATATTTGTTAGTATGCCTCCTTAGCAAGTAATATTACCAACTGAGTTGGTGGCATTTCTTAAACAATACGTCAAAATGTTCTCTTGACTGTGTTGGCCATGTGAATTATTGTTCAATTTAGAAATATATATTTTTGGGTAATATTTAACATTTGTTATTTTCCTGTGTAGAGCTTGTTTCTCTGTCTTTAATTACACATGCTCATGCAGAGACCAAACTTACAAACACAATTATCTATCATAAAACACATAATGCTAAGGCTGACTTTGTCAACATGATTTTTTCTTATTGCAAGAATTCTACAAGCTTATTTCAGCAAAAAGCTTATTTATATATACATAGAAAATTGTGAAAGGTTAGAAATTATGAAGCATTATATAAGCTTTTACGGATATCACATGCATATCCATTTCTTCAGATAAATCCTGATGTACTTACCTTGCCATTAATTTGAGTGTAGGTGGTCGGCACAACTTTAACAAAATATTGGAACATCATCTGTTCTGTAAACAGAGAGTTTGATTGATTAGGTACTGGCTACTAACCACAAATTATGTCAATAATTTTCATTACATGATTTACTGAAAATATGTGTTTAAGTTTGGAATTTTCTCTATACAAAGCCTGTCATGCTTTGATGTGACCCACCAATGCCTAATGTGCCAATTATAGATCACGGTGCTTCATTGACGATATTGGTGAGGTAATACTGTGGAGATAACAGGTGGGAATCTTATAGCAAACGTTTAAGAGGTGTTCCGTAATAAAGCACCATTCAATTTATCCTACATTAACTTTGGCTACAAAAAGTATTCAGTGTGTGTGGAATACTGCCTACATACATAATACTACAACCTGCTTGGTGTTTAATGTCTCTCTCAGAAATATTGCTCCAAAATGGTGGGAACCTGAATGTAATCAAATCTGGTATAGACAATCCATTGTTCGATGTTTTGTTTCCTGTCACGTGAATGTAGTGAGTGGCTTGAGGTACAAAATGGAGTCAATGTGGAATCACATCTTTGAGGGGTGTAGGCTCTGACAAACAATTGATATCATAATGATTGCATGTTTCAACATTGTAAATGAATTTTGAACTTCATTCATCCGATCTCGTACGAACCATTGCTCACACCCTCGCGGATTATTTCACTCGACAATATATCTTGAAATATAAACCAAAACTTAATTGGGGCCAAGCCGGGAGTCGAACCCGGGACCTCTCGCACCCGAAGCGAGAATCATACCCCTAGACCACTTGGCCAGCACGCTGACATGAGGACATTGTTATTGACTACATTCAAATTTTGCTTTCCCGCACTCGACAATGGAATCACAAGGAAAGGTGTTGTTGAAATATGCACAGATGCGTTTCCTTTAAACGATCCCAATGATCAGGAGACTTAACAATGTTCAGTAAACGCCATTCGAAGGGCAAAACATGGAAACCGGAAATGACGAAAGTGCTCATGGGATACAAAATGGTTTCCGAAGCTTAACTGCAGGTGCGCGATGCCTCGGCCACTGTAACTTGTCACAATTCGAAAAGGTACACACATGCAATCATCGTATTGCTATTTTGTGTATGAATCCATCAGGTTTTGGAGTCAGACTTTGTTACACTGGGATCCTCTTTATCGCGTCATCTGGTGGTAGTCGTTATTGTCAAATGGGTCAAAAGCAAACACGCAAGGTCAGGCTTCAAATGTTTTCAATAATCTGTGGAAAGCGCCGCATCCTTGGTAATACAAATTAAACCTCCCTTCGTGTTGACTTAATTAATACGTCATTACCAAATCCCAGATGTCATCATTCGTATCAGTTCCATTGGGTTTATCCTTGAGGTGTTCCAGCTCATCGCACGTGCTTAAGTGAACGGATTCTGAGGTTCTACGAACTGGGGCGTTGCAAATGGTGTTGTTTTAGATGGCAAATTGTCGCAATCAGTGTCTTGGTTTAAATTAAAAATTACCCCACCTCAACTGATTTCACAAACAAAAGAGCTAATATTAGCCCATCAGCCTGTTGAGTAAATTTCATACAAAATGATACATCTTTGTACGTCTTTGGTTTCACCTAATTTCAGTTGTATTAGTTTCCACAGGTCATATTACCAAATCACAAGTATATTATTGTTATATATTTTTTCAGCTATCATTCCCTGCATTAATTTTTAAATATTAATTGTGAAACAAACTTATGCGTACAAAACTTAGAAAAAAAGTGTTGATTGTGTACCATGTATGTCTACAGTGTTTTGTAGGACTAGTTTCATGATTATAAGCAGTAGTAGTAATCAAAGTATTTCATTATCATAACTTTATTTCAAGCTGATAAAAATTCATAAAAGTCATTTGAGATGCCCTGTCATATACACCAGTTGTGTGGGATATTGACCGCCAAAACAAATCAAATCAGGGATTTGTCTTTCACTTATTGGACCGCCTCCGTGGTGTAGTGGTTAGAGCGTCCGCCCGGAGAGCGGAAGGTCGCGGTTACGATCCTGCGACTGCGTCATACAAAAAGACATTAAAATATGGTACTTGTTGTTCCCTAAATGGCTCTCGGCATTAATGGGTACAAGGACTGGTCGGCTCGGAGTCAGTATAATGTGAGGGATATTTATGCTTCACTGCGGCATGGTATCTCAGTGGGCTAGCACTATAAAACCAGCTTTAGTCTGGGCTAATACAAGCAGCCGCATATACACATACACACGCATGCATGTCGTCATATCAGCGAAATATTCTCAAGCACGACGTTAAACCCAATCTCACCTCACCTCACCTTATTCTATCACATATCAGTGCAATTTGGCACGATTATAGGGATGAACATTTATTGAGATATTTTGTCACTATCTGGAGTTTTGTGAAGTTGGCATTAATATATTTGATCAACAGGAACATTTATAACCAGACCATTGTTATTTTTCAGTACTTTCATAGTGTGCATCTGCCCCCCTGATAATGCCAGCTCCACCGCCTAGTAGCTACTCCATGGGGCATGGCCCCAGTTGCTGGGACCGGTCAAAATGGGCTTCATGATGGGATTCTGTGTAGGCATGGCATCTGGGGCTCTGTTTGGGGGATTCTCAGCTCTCAGGTGAGTTGTTTTAACTGGGTAATCGTGGTCATTAGCTGTACAAGAAAACGTTTAAATAGGTTAGCAAGGATCTTGGACCTGAGACGTTTAATAATTTACACTGACTATACATTATTGCAGCTTGACAGATATAGTGTAATCATGTAGCAATTTAAGAAAGGTATATTTGCTAATTTTGGCATATAGGGTGATTATAAGTGTGAAAAAACTTTCCACAGGTTTGAATTAAAGTCTTTTACATTATTTAGTATAATCTAATCAACAGTAACTGGCATTTAAGAAATATTAGTTGGCAGAATAAAAATTGAACCCTGTTTTTTTACATCTTAAATTTTGGATGTCAGCAAGTTTAGATTATTCATTAGATACAGAACACCTGATTAGGGTTCAGACAGAAATAACATATGATGGTATTATGAACAGTTGACCTTGGTCTTTAACATAGTTTGGAACATAGTTAATTAAACCAGGACTTAGTCTCATTGAATCATATCTGTGCAAAAAAGGTTGGACAATCACCAAAGTTATAGAAGTAGGTCTTGAAATTTGCTTCAGGCTAATAATCATGTTACAAGTTGAACTTGTCTCTCTCATATACAATGTAGATGTTGATATATTATCCTGCTGCTACTTAGTTACATTATTGTTGCAGGTACGGAATGCGTGGTCGTGAGTTGGTGCAGCAGGTGGGAAAGACAATGGTACAGGGAGGAGGGACGTTTGGGACGTTCATGGGAATAGGAACTGGAATCCGGTGTTGACATGAGTGTGTGTTTCGCAGTAGACTTGTTTAAAGAAGCGTGCTTGAGTTGACGATCACCAAAGCTGACATGTCATGAGTGATGCTCCAGCCAATATGGCCAGTTTTGCACATGAATGCAGCATTTCTATCACGTCATCATTACGTTATGTGTTTATAAATGTATATGTAATAAAATTGCAAAAATATTTTTGATGCTTTGTTTTCACAGTGTTGATGAAATATATACAAATTGCTTTCTCAGGAAAAGGAAATATCTAAGCCCATTGGAAGAAAGAACACCTGTAATGAAAATACATTTAATAGAACATATTTAATATACTCCCCTAGAAATGCTTGCCATGCTTGTAATTGTTTCCTTTCTTGTATTTAAGATGGTATTTGTTTTTGTTAATAACCAAGACGCAGAAGAAAAACAAGAAAAAATTGTGTCCAGGGACACGGATGCCCCCGCTGACATTCATAAGACATATAATGATCAATAATTGAACAAAATTCACGAACAAGTTCAAGAAACATCTATGCAACTATGACATGCACACCTTTCGAGTCTCAATGAAACACTTGTATAAGCTTAATCAATTCTGTTGAGCAGTTTTTGTGGAGAAGTTGATAGACTTCATCCCCTATAACACTATATTCAGAGAGAAATTCAACAAAATTTATTCAAGTTTAAACGGCATTAAAATTGGAAAAATAAATAAAATCTAAAATTAAAATATGAGATGCACACCTTTAGAGTCCCTATAAAGCACATGTGTAATCTAAATGAATTCCATAAAGCAGTTTTTTGAGGAGAAGTGGATAACGTACACCCCCTGTTGTATGGGACGAACTGGATGAATAGAACCAAATTCAACTAAGTTCAAACATCTGTAGAAGTGACAAAATTAAGAAATTGGATGAACAAGGTATGAGATGCACACCTTTAGAGACCCAATGAAACACACGTAGAAGCTCAATCAATTCTGATGAGCAGCTTTTGTGGAGAAGTGGATAGACTTCACCCCCTACAACACTATATTCAGACAGAAATTCAACAAAATTGATCTAAGTTCAAACGGCATTAAAATTGGAAAAATGATGAAACACAAAATCAAAATATGAGCTGCATGCCTTTAGAGTCCCTATAAAGCACATGTGTAATCTAAAAGAATTCCATAAAGTAGTTTTGAGGAGATGTGGTGTAATCTAAAAGAATTCCATAAAGTAGTTTTGAGGAGATGTGGATAACGTACACCCTCTGTATGGGACCTAACTGGCTGAATAGAACAAAATTCAATTAAGTTCAAACATCTGTAAAAGTGACAAAAGTAAGAAATTGCATAAAAAATTATGAAATGCACACCTCTAGAGTCCCTACAAAAGACATGTAGAAGTTCATTCAATTCTGTTGAGCAGTTTTTGTGGAGAAGTGGATAGACTTCATCCCCTATTACACTATCATCATAGAGAAATTCAGCAAAATGTACCTAAGTTCAAATGTCTCTAAACTTACAAAAAAAAACAATAAAATAAAAAAACAAAATATGAGATGCACACCATTAGAGTCCCAAGAAAGCCCATGTATAAGTTCACTGAATTCCACAGAGCGGTTATGGTGGAGAAGTGGATAGAATACATTCCCTGTTTCGTCGGACGACGGACGGACGGACACCGAGGGTAACCCTATATGCCCCTGCCATATATGGCGGGGGCATAATAAATGTTGTAATTGAGGAAAATGTCCTTTAAAATAAAATTACAACAAATGAAAATAAGCAGTATTCTCAGACTAAAAGAACTTGGGCTAATGGTCAGGACAGAATTCAACAGCTGCTGATAGTTTCTAGAAACTAACATTTAGAACCCAGAGGGGAAAACTGCCCTATATTCTGGGCTGCGGTCCCCTTGTTCAGCATCACAACACAGTGCTCGATTTAAGAGATGTTAACCTACTTGCACTATGTGCAACATAAGATAAAAACCTAGTTGCACCAGCATAATTCTAGTTGCACTGTTTTTATAGCTATGTAATACTGGGTTGCATCAGTACAAGTAACAAAGCACTAAATCGAGCCCTGCAACAGATAACCCTATACATCAGAATAGTACTAGTCCCTCAGGATAATAACAAGGTTCACACCAGCATGTAGAAGCCTGAAATTTGAACATTTTACCCCCTTGAAAAGCCCCTTATTGCCAGTCATTTGCCTGGCAGTGGAAAAGGCCCTAAATGTAGCAAAATGGGTCAAGTTATGACTTTACAGGAAACTAATACACAATAAAATACATTGCAATGGCAGTAGGTGTTAGTTAATATACAATGTAAAAACGGATTTCCTAGTGAGGCGATGACGCTAAGAGTTATTTCCCCCTGATGGTTGGTCCTCACCTTGTCTATTTTCAACTTCTTATATGTTACATGTGTTTCTATAGTTCGAAAAAATTGTTGATTAGGGCTTGAAAAGCTCTTAAAAAAGCCTTATAATCTGTATGAGCCCTGAATAACACTGTAAAATCTTGAAAAAGAGACACGTTTTGGTGTCAGTGCGGGGTGATTCATAGGAATCCTTGCACCAGTATTGGTTGTAACTCTAAACCTGTTTTGTTTGTGTAAGAATTTAAGTCTTTCTTCAAGAATATTAGGAGCCAACTCAACTTTATTCTTGTGAAATTTGGCTCCTAATTTAATATGCTGTCTTCTCTACAGGGTTCTTCTTTCACTCCCTCTTCCCTTTCCAGTTACCTAACATGTTAACTTCATGCACTTTGTGACTTGAGCATTATATACACAGATGCCCTTTCCAAAATCCTTGCCCTGCAGTTATACTGACTGACTGACTATGGTTTTACGCCGCTTCTAGCAACAGTCCAAACACCAGAAATGGCTTCACACATTGTACCCATGTGGGGAATCGAACCCGGCCTTCAGCGTGACAACGAACACTTTAACCACTACAAAAGACTGGTAGGCCAGCCCAGTGATTGAAGTGTTTGTTTGTCATGCTGATAATGGGTACATGACACTGCTAGGAAACCAACATCACTCAGTACATGACGGTTATAAAGCATGGCATGCTGCCATTACTTGCATCCGATGTAAGCACTATGTCTTGAATCTTAGAAGGCAGAACAGACTTACAAACTTTGCCATAATAGTCCACAAAGTGGATTTATGAGTGAAAAACTGAGTAAGATTTCAGGCCATTTTAAGCAAAATTCAACTTCATAGTGAACAAGTGTTCGCCACTAATATGGCAATGTCCCCCGCCACTAAAGAATGGAATATTCATAACATATTTACTACTTTTTATTTTTTCCTCACATACAAGATGCCTGAAATCACTGGTGTCTGCATAATCACCCAATGTAGGCTGTCGACATAATTGAAGACATTGGGTGCAATGTTTTATGAGATGTCGCGTTTACATAAGTTTGAAAAGTGGTCAAAGTGTTGTTGTGACCTTGAAGATAAGGTCAAGGTCAAATGTAGGCTGTCACCAAATTTGAAGACACTGGGTACAACAGTTCATAAGATAACGCATTTACATAAGTTTGAAAAGTGGTCAAAGTGTTGTGGTGACCTTGAAAATAAGGTCAAGGTCACCCAAGTCGACTGGTGTCTGCGTAATCCCCAAATGTAGTCTGTCACCAACTTTGAAGACATTGGATACAACAGTGTATGAGATGTCATGTTAACAAGAAGACAAAGTCATCAATATCCCCTGCAATGGCAAAATACTCTTCATGATTATGTCTCACGAAGTTATGATTATGTCAAATATTTAGGTGTGTATATAGAAAAGTGGAAGGAGAGTAATGAAAGGTTTTGAAAGTTCTGCTCCAGAAAGGAGCACTATCACCAATTTCAGTCTAAGTCAAACTTGTTGCCATGGAAATGACAAAAATATTTTATTCAGAATTCCAAAACTACCAAAAGGCACCAGTACACCACCAGATCTATCTATGTGCCAAGTTTGGTGAAGAAATAGAGAACAGTTTTAGAATTCAGCTCGGAAAAGAGCACTACCACAATTTCAGGCTAAGTGACTCTTGTTGCCATGGAAACGCCATAATTTTTTATTCAGAATTCCAAAACTACCAAAGGCACAAGTACACCACCAGATCTATCTATGTGCCAAGTTTGGTGAAGAAATAGAGAACAGTTTTAGAGTTCAGCTCGGAAAAGAGCACTACCACAATTTCAGGCTAAGTCAAACTTGTTGCCATGGAAACGCCAAAATATTTTATTCAGAATTCCAAAACTACCAAAAGGCACCAGTACACCACCAGATCTATCTATGTGCCAAGTTTGGTGAAGAAATATTGAACGGTTTTAGAGTTCAGCTCTGGAAAAGAGCACTACCACCAATTTCAGTCTAAGTCGAACTTGTTGCCATGGAAACGCCAAAACTATTTTATTCAAATTCCAAAACTACCAAAAGGCACCAGTACACCACCAGATCTATCTATGTGCCAAGTTTGGTGAAGAAATAGTGAACAGTTTTAGAGTTCAGCTCGGAAAAAGAGCACTACCACAATTTCAGGCTAAGTCAAACTTGTTGCCATGGAAACGCCAAAAATATTTTATTCAAATTCCAAAACTACCAAAAGGCACCAGTACACCACCAGATCTATCTATGTGCCAAGTTTGGTGAAGAAATAGTGAACAGTTTTAGAGTTCAGCTCCGGAAAAGAGCACTACCACAATTTCAGGCTAAGTCAAACTTGTTGCCATGGAAACGCCAAAATATTTTATTCAGAATTCCAAAACTACCAAAAGGCACAAGTACACCACCAGATCTATCTATGTGCCAAGTTTGGTGAAGAAATAGAGAACAGTTTTAGAGTTCAGCTCCGGAAAAGAGCACTACCACAATTTCAGGCTAAGTCAAACTTGTTGCCATGGAAACGCCAAAAATATTTTATTCAGAATTCCAAAACTACCAAAAGGCACCAGTACACCACCAGATCTATCTATGTGCCAAGTTTGGTGAAGAAATATTGAACGGTTTTAGAGTTCAGCTCCGGAAAAGAGCACTACCACCAATTTCAGTCTAAGTCAAACTTGTTGCCATGGAAACGCCAAAAATATTTTATTCAGAATTCCAAAACTACCAAAAGGCACCAGTACACCACCAGATCTATCTATGTGCCAAGTTTGGTGAAGAAATAGTGAACGGTTTTAGAGTTCAGCTCGGGAAAAGAGCACTACCACAATTTCAGGCTAAGTCAAACTTGTTGCCATGGAAACGCCAAAAATATTTTATTCAGAATTCCAAAACTACCAAAAGGCACCAGTACACCACCAGATCTATCTATGTGCCAAGTTTGGTGAAGAAATAGTGAACAGTTTTAGAGTTCAGCTCCGGAAAAGAGCACTACCACAATTTCAGGCTAAGTCAAACTTGTTGCCATGGAAACGCCAAAATATTTTATTCAGAATTCCAAAACTACCAAAGGCACAAGTACACCACCAGATCTATCTATGTGCCAAGTTTGGTGAAGAAATAGAGAACAGTTTTAGAGTTCAGCTCGGAAAAGAGCACTACCACAATTTCAGGCTAAGTCAAACTTGTTGCCATGGAAACGCCAAAATATTTTATTCAGAATTCCAAAACTACCAAAGGCACCAGTAAACCACCAGATCTATCTATGTGCCAAGTTTGGTGAAGAAATATTGAACAGTTTTAGAGTTCAGCTCTGAAAAGAGCACTACCACCAATTTCAGTCAAAGTCAAACTTGTTGCCCTGGAAACGCCAAAAATATTTTATTCAAATTCCAAAACTACCAAAAGGCACCAGTACACCACCAGATCTATCTATGTGCCAAGTTTGGTGATGAAATAGTGAACGGTTTTAGAGTTCTGCTCCGGAAAAGAGCACTACCACCAATTTCAGTCAAAGTCGAACTTGTTGCCATGGAAACGCGCAAAAATATTTAATTCAGAATTCAAAAACTACCAAAGGCACCAGTACACCACCAGATCCACGTATGTGCAAAGGTTGGTGAAGAAATATTGAACGGTTTTAGAGTTCTGCTCGGAGAAAAGACAAATGTGCACGGACGGATTGGACGCGACGCCGCACGGACAAAGTCCATTTTAATACCCCCGCAAAGCGGCGTTGCGAGGGATAACAACAGTTGGAAAAGCGTTAAAAGTGTCGTGGTGACCTTGAAGATAAGGTTAAGGTCGCCCAAATAAATTGGTGTCTGCGTAATCCCTCAATGTAGGCTGTCACCAAATTTGAAGACATTGGGTATGACAGTTCATGAGATATCGCATTAACAAGAGTTTTAAAAAGCGGTCAAAGTGTCGTAACCTTGAAAATAAGGTCAAGGTCACCAAAATCGACTGGTGTCTGGGTAATCCCCTAATGTAGGCTGTCACCAAATTTGAAGACATTGGGTACAAGAGTTCATGAGATATCAGCGTTCACAAGAATCAGGAATCAGGACGTCACGCCGCTGAAAACATGGTCCCCCCTCCGTTATGCGGCTGGGGACAATTACACAAGAACGGGCTCAAACATTGTGCCCGTGTGTGGAATTACACCCAGGTTGTCAGCAAGAGCAAATTCATTGACCACAAACTTACTCTACCACAGGGCTACAGATACGGGGTGTACAGGCGTAATGTACACATGAAAATCAATGAAGTATGACATAATATAAGATTTCAAGTGTATCATGTACACACATAAATACCTTTGTACACCTAACATATATGAAGTTTAATAGCTGAAGGGTTGTTTAATATTATAAATAACAAAGCACATCACCAACTCACTCGCACAAAATCATGTCAGTACTCCTTCAAAATTCTCAGTACACCTCCACTAGCAATTTATAAGTACACTCACACCCCCAAAAGTTATCTGGAGCCCTGCTACCACCAAGGTGATATGATGAAAGGGGAGGTAACACATCTTACCCTCGTTAGCAGCTTCATATGTTGCATCAAGAGGGTTGATAATTCCAGGATAGTCAATGCCAAAGGACAGGTGGTTGATTTGATGAGAAATGTTGAACTGCAACATATATAACAATGTATAATGTAGGTGTTAGAGAAACACCAGGTTTTCTCAATATTTCATTAACCAATGTGTCCTCCCACGGAAGATTACCACAGTAATAGGAAGCAATTGTGTGTTCTTTAACTACTTTTGAACAGTATATATTTTCCAAGGGCATAAATGCTTAACTGATTGAAAACACATACTTTGACCTTAATACCTAAGTAACTCAACTGCAGTCTCCCTTAAATGCAACTGCCTCCGTGGTGTAGTGGTTAGAGCGTCCACCCGGAGAGCGGAAGGTTGCGGGTTCGATCCCCGACCGCGTCATACCAAAAGACGTTAAAATATGGTACTTGTTGGTCCCTGCCTGGCTTTAATGGGTACATCAAGGACTGGTCGGCTCGGAGTCAGTATAATGTGTCTGAGTGGCATGTTAGCATGGGGTATTCATGCTTCACTGCGGCATGGTATCTCAGTGGGCTAGCACTATAAAACCAGCTTCAGTCTGGGCTAGTACAAGCAGCCGCACATACACACGCATGCACGTCGTCATATGAGCGAAATATTCTCAAGCACGACGTTAAACCCAATTTCACCTCACCCTTAAATGCATCCTTCACATGACAAGCTGTGATTGTTATCCTGACATAAGGTCTACACTGAGAGCGTGGGTAAGTGAATGTTGTATCATGACTCCACATATGCAATGAATCATCACACCACGAAAATTGGCCAATCCAGAAATTCTCAATACTTGAGCTTCAGTTCTTACAACTATCATTGGAATATGTTGGCCTGAATCCCCAATGGGGATCAAGAGAATGAAAAAAGGAGCGAGTTAATGATGTCATACTAACTAAAGATGGACAGTGCTTGATTAAATTGATCTCTCTTTCTGCAACAGTGCTGCTGCCCTGACCTCTCTGTCCCTTTCTCTCTTGTGAAAGTACTTGCCACATTTCACCTGATTCATGCTTATTGGCTCTAGAAATAATAACACTTCCTATGGAGGAGAACATGTTTTAAACTTACCTTCTGTCCACCAAATGCCTGCAGATCGTGAACTGAAAGTAAACATCAGTTTGTATCATCAGAAATACTCTCAAACACAAACACACGTTTTTATAAGGTGGGGGTATTTTACTGTACTTATCTCTAGAAAATGATCTGAGGCTTACAGGGCTCCAGATAAGGGCCGTATCGGCATATGTACGGAGAGAAAATATGCACGATACGGTAGGAAATAATTTAGAAAACGTAGCAGATACGCACCACAGCAATGGTGTATGGTCTTAAAATCATTTACAGAAGTATTTATCTGAAAAAGTATTGTTTTATTGTTTATTGACCTGTTTACACAAGAGAAGCAATGTTGTGGTGCATATATAAAACAAAACACAAGATTACTGATACGCCATTATTTTCCATTCAGTACTCTACATGTACTCCAGTACTCCTATAATGAAAAAATAAGGAGTACGTACTCCTGATGTTGAAAACATATCTGGAGCCCTGGGCTTAGGTCTTGACCTTTCATCTTGTTATTAGCAGTGTGTGAAATAAGGCCCGTCCAACCGCCCGAGACAGACTAGATTTCTGACGGAGGTCTAAATTTACAACTAGCCAGCCCAATGGTCTGGTAATTGTTTTAGATGTTCCATACATCTGAGTAAATTCACCATATCTTGGTGCCTGGTCTGGTTAAATCCATTTTGGGCTGGTAACATTTTGAAGTTACCAGCCCTGATGCCTTCCTGTTTTTTGGCTTATTTCAAACACTGTTATTAGTACATCTCCCCCAAATACATGTACATTGTACCAGTATATTGACATCAATGGATGAAAAGAAACAATATCTTATACATGGTTCCTCAAAACACACAATTTCAATATAAGATCTGTCATATTCCGGTCAGTTCTAGTAGGAGCACAAACACTTTATTAGAACATGGCTTGTCTATGTATCTCACTCATTGTAATAGTTAAATTACATAATCAAAAGAGGATGGAATAATCTGAATTTTTGTCTTCACACATACTAGATAATTAACTTTCAAAATGAAATTATAGTTGTTACAGTACAACCAGAAATTATTGAGAATTTAAAGATTTTAAATTTTTTATTTTTTTCACTCCTTACTCACGTATTAAATGTGAATATTAGCAGAACATAACTCCAGATTCAAAGACAGGTGAACAGTTAGTATTTTGTCAAGTCACCATGGGCAGCAATGCAGGCTTCAATGCGGCGGGGCATACTACTGATCAAAGAAGTTAGAAAGTCGTGGTCCATGCTGTCCCATTATCGGACCGCCTCTTCTTTCATTTCAGCAATATTTGTCAGATTTTTCTTATTGACACTTTCCTTCATAGGTCCCCAAACATTTTCTATTGGATTTAGGTCAGGGCTATAGCTTGGCCAATCTAATAATGTCATAAACCAGGCCTGTGAATGCTTTGAACGATGTTTTGGGTCATTGTCCTGCTGGAAATCCAAAAATTTCCATAGAACATGTGAGCAGATGGAAGTAAATGTCCCTCGAGAATATCTGTGTACCGCTCACTGTTCATTTTCCCTTCAAATACACAGAAGGGCGATGCCCCTAACACAGATATGCCACCCCACACGTTAAATTTCGGACTGTGCTTTGGGCGCTGATACAAAGGTTTTTCAGTTTGTTTGGTCCAGAATTTCAGTGTATTAGGAAACAGCCACACAGAACTTTCATCTGAGAAAATCACATTGTCCAGTTAAAATTTCTATGCTGTAAGCACCAGTTCAACCTTCACTCCTTTTGTTCAGGTTTCATGATCGGTGATGGAATTCCTCGACTTTTCTGCCAACCCATTGTATGCAGCTCAGTTCTTATTGTCTCCTTACAGACAGCCACAGTTCCTCTATCAATCATATCCAGCCTAAAGTTTTCTAAACTTCTTCGTTTGTTTTTAGAAACAAGAATACCAAGCCACCTCCTGTCACCGACAGTCAATTTTCTGGGCCTACCTGGTACTCATTGCCATATCCATTTGCAATATTTTTCAAAACACGATAAACAGTGGACAAAGGGATGCCTGTTCCACTTGAAATCACTTTAGCTCATCTGATGTCCTTGTTATAATACTCTAAAATCAACTTCCTCTTCTCTAAATCATCCATACTGAGGAACACTGAAAATGTCGTCTGCTAGCAAGTAAACAAAGGGGGATAACTCTTCACAAACTAATGAAAAAGGATTAACGGAGTTGTCTCTCTTGAATGAAACCAAGCACTTGATAGCTGGTCAAGGTTGTTTATACTAGAAATCCAATTAAAAATATTCCTAAAATTCTCAATAATTTCTGGTCATACTATAAATGGCAATTTGTGCATTGAAAAAACAATGGTCTTTTCTGTTAACCCCTTGAATTTTTGCCTTTTATCATTGAGTTCTCTACAGACATAGACACAACAGTGCTTCAGTAGAATCCTCACCATGCACATGGTGCTGCTGGAAGCTCTTCCCAGGAGCGAAGTGGAAGTTGCCCGCTAACCTGAGACACGGAAAGGAGGCAGTTTAGACATAGGAAATGATGAAGAAGCATGTGTGAGTCAGTCTGTCTGTCTGGGTGTAATGTCTGCTTAATAGAGCCATAATAATAGAAAATATGTAGAGTTTACATGATATCAAGTCTCAGGCACAGACCCATCTGATACCAACCACCAAGCAGGGTAACAATAGGTACCATCTTTTGGTACAACTAGCCTAGACAGTGAGCCAACTGCCCTGGGAAGACATTCTATAACTAAGGAGATTGTCTAAGCGATGATGACTTCACTAGTTTTACGCCGCTTTTAGCGATATTCACATCAGAAATGGGCTTTACACATTGTACACATTGGGGAATCGAACCCAGATCTTCGGCATGATGAGCGAACACTTTAACCACCAGGCTACCCCACCGCCTCTGATGACTTCACTAGACACTGGGTTTCACCTTGACCTAAGATTTATCATGTCTGTAAATCTGCCGCACAGGACATTGATATTGGCACACCATTGGCCAATTGCCTTATATGTGTCACAGACATGGGTTCAATTACTTTTGAAATGTAATTAATTAAATTACAATTACTTTGATTTTCCTCAATTACAATTACAAATACAATTACACCTTAAAATTAAAATGTAATTACAATTACAAATTACTTTGTTAAAAAAAAAACAGAACAAATATATTTTTGTATTCCTTTAATCACTAAATCCAATTCATTGGTCACTAAATCCAATTCATATTTTTGTCATCAAAAAGTGAAATGCAAAATTAGATTATATCTACAATGTACACTATTTGATCAAATTTGTATTTTGCATATTTCTTTGGGCTTATTATCAAATACACACCTCTATCATCTCTTGTTGCAAAAAACACTTTGTCCACCACTGTTACCTTAGGTATACTGTATCATGACATCATTACAGGCCTACATTACAATATATAATCAGCCTGTCTCTCTATCTGACATAATCCACATTAACATACTAAAGGATTTGTCAACTTGGATTTATGGCTTATTACCTTTCATGATTATAAAGATAGGACTACAGTTCAGTAAGATTTTGAATATCCTATCCTATGAGAAATAAACAAAGAGGCCATTTTTATAGGAACTTGACTAATAGTACTGTTAATCCCCATTTCCCTCAAATACCAACCTACATTCAGTCATGCGTTGATTCCCTTTGTTTCACAAAATGTGTCATGGTCAATACCTCATTGACAATTGTTTAACTTTTAATCATATCCGCTGTCCATTATGTAGTGACCCACCTTGTTAACTTCCAGGTAACCAAAAACCCGGCAACCTTCATTTTTTTGTGCAGACATTTTCTCGGACCATCCCTCTCGCTTGCACTGCTCGATGGTAGATGGGTTGTTGAAAGCCCAACCCTTTTTCCTGTAGGCTTCTCTCACATCTTCACAGGTGTTACAGCATCTAGGGAGTTACATTAGAATGGTACTCATCATCTCTGAAGGGACAGTTCAGGCTTTGTCTAAATCCATATGATAAAGATTAAGAGTTACTGAGCATGGTTTTACGCCACTTTTAGCAGGATTCCAGCAACATCATTGAGGGTGACACCTAAAATGAGCTTTGAACATTGTACCCATGTGGGGAATCAAACCCGGTCTTCAGCAGGACAAATGAAAGAATCTGCCACAACACAATCTCTCCTTTCTGTCTTAGATGTGGAACACATTGACCAAGACTGCAGAGATGGTTCATCACACAGTACTTACTTCTTCTCATCAGTAACAACTTTCACAGCTTAGCATCAAGTTCCTTCGGCTTTGTAACATTCTGAAATATGCAAAAATAATTAGCACCAAAGATGCTGATGAGAAAAAGACACAACATGTAACAAAGGTTCCAGCTTCTACAGTCAAGTGATGTGTTGTGACCAGGGATCCACTCTGATAGGACTTGGGGGATGTAACCATGGATAAAGGTCTGAAAAGTTATCTTCTTTCACAAGTATAATTAGGTATGATGTGCTGTCACAAGGATTTGTTCAGAAAGATTAACTCTGTTCGGAGCTGTGGGATAAGACACTATGACAAGGGATGAGTCTGTAAAGATTCCACTTTGTTGTGACAAGAAATTAAGTCTACCATCATCTTCGTTTTGTTTGATTCTTGAATAACACCACACTCGGCAATATACCAGCTATATGTTGGCAGGCTATAAATAACTGAGTCTGGTCCAGACAATCCAGTGATCAACAATATGAGCATCAACCTACATAATTTGTAACATATGTCATATTTGGGATTGCACCTTCTTAGTAGCAGACAGATTCTAGTACTTTTGTTGGGTTGAGTCCATCCAGGATTCGAACCCACACCCATAGAGTCAGGCACCTAATTGCCAGCACTACACAATTTGGACACGATGACATGTCAGCGAGCCTGACCACCTGATCCCGTTAGTTGCCTCTTATGACAAGCAATGACCAATTCTAACATGGATCTTGAAGGGTACTAATAATATCTGTGGGGTTTATGTTGCATCATCATGCTGAATGATTTTGTTGATTTCGTTGTCTACAGTCTTTTGTGTGTTGATGGTTTAATAATCAATCTGTGAAGATATCATTGTCAACCATATTTATAAGATTAACTTCAATACATTTTTGCACTTAAGGAGTTATATACCTAAACAAATGCTGAGCATATTTTAGATAAATCAGCTATGCCATTCCACAACATAAACATATTGAAGACATACTTACTGCAGCCAAATCTTTAGCGGTATCACCTAAGGCTACAACAGAAATACAGATTTATGTGAATAAGCCAGGAAAACAGGTTAAAGACAAGGGGTAAGTAACGAAACAAGCCATTGCACTGATACAAAACTTACCAGTAGAAAAATCATAAATAAGTTTAATATTTGTGTACTTATCCTGCAATACTCCTCAATGTAAACATATAAGCAGTAAATATATCTATGAGAAATGCAAGATATGTTCAATAATTCTGTAAATATTGAGCAGAGTAATGTTCCCTATAAGCATGCTTGGGGCATGGACATTACAGTGATCATGGTGATACTTCCACATATTCACACGGAGCATTATCATGTTTGCTTCATGCTGACTGTTTCGTTAGTTACATTTTAATTACAATTTGAGAAGAGGCCAAAAGAATTACATTGTTGTAAATCTTCAAACATGAGGCCATGAAAAAATCCATCCATCCATTGTCTATGGTGCACAAGTACAACCTTAATATGTGATGTTGTTTCAACAACAGGTCAACTGAGCTGATGTATTCACTAAGGATCAGGAAACCCACATTTATCTACATTTACCAGTTGACATACTTGCCAACCTTATTCAATTTAATTTCAATGGCTAATAACACACAGGTTTGCCAACTTAGCAGCTCTATGGAGTTCCTGGAGTCCCTTAGTACCTCAAGTGTGACTTAGTCAAGTGTGTTATTGTATAAAAGTGACATGGAAGGCTGACGGTATCATTTAACCAACAGTTTTTTCTGGCCTATCATTGACAGGCTTTCTCTAATGCCGTAGCTGCCCATCTTGTATTTTGGCTTATCAACAAACATGTTTTCTCACACGCTGTTGCACTTACCTTGTTTTTCTGGCTTGTCATCAACAGTTTTCCCATTACTATCCAGACGCTGCTTGAACAGGTTGTGATCTACATCGATCTGCTGTTCACCAGACACGTCCATGGCATCAATACTTAAATCTGGAACATCACATCAATACAGCTGCAGGTACTGTGTTGCAGTCATAAATGTCATTTCAAATATTGACTTATTGATTATCACAAACAGTCTTACAGCATGATACATCAATTACGGATAATACACATATAATTGGCAGTATTGCCCTGTTTTCATCGCACAAGGGCACCTGTGAAACTAATCACATTAAGAGAAAGGTTACGATACAGTTTACTTTGATGGGATAAACATTATGATAATTACATAAAAATTAACCATGGAATCCAATACCTGTCATGTTATTGAAAAATGTTCCATCAATCAAAACAACCAAACACTTCAATAAACATCGACTTGAAAATGTAGTATAGCCATGAACATTTTTACAAAATGGAAATGTCCTCCTAAATCATATAGACATACTTTAATAACTGTCCAAAACATTCTTAAAGGCAGTGTACTGGGAACTCACATGCACAAGGCAACTTGGAAAATACTATATCAATGTTTATTCGAATCTTCTGGCCTCTTGAAGTATCCACGAATAGTTCTGGTTGCACTTCTTTCGTGAGGTAATAGTTGAACTCCGACACAAACAGTATGAACATCAGCACTGCACTGGACAGTGTCACTGAAAAGGAAACATGTTGCTGTAGAGGTATGCAAGTAACATCAGAAGGACTTAAAATGCAGGTCGAGAGGCATAATATTTCACATAGTGATATACATTGTCAAAAAGATTGAAACCTAGTCCTCCAAACATGTATGGCTACATACGTTGCTTTGGCTTGGTTGTTGTTTGATGCCCGCTCTCAGCATTATTCCAGCTATATGGCAGTGGTCTGCAAATAATCGAGTCTGGACCAGAGAATCCAGTGCTCAACAGCATGAGCATTGATCTACACAATTGGAATATGATGACGTGTGTCAACAAGTCAGCCAGTCTGACCACCCGATCTTACTACTAGCATTGCTTGCTGGAGACCCAGAGGCCCAGATAGCTGCGTATCCGGGTAAAATATGCATAGAAACTTTCCAATTACGCATTGAAAAATAATTGTTGCGTACCAATTACGCATTTAAAATGTTAGAAACACAAAAAGTTTAAAACAAATGCATACGGAATATATTTATAAAAATCGCTTGCGTAATGAAAAAGACATCAATTGCTATCAAGTTGTACTGTTAGTATAGGACTAGTGTTGTACTGTCAGTATTGGATAAGTGATTTTTTTATGAAATCATTTTCATTATATTTAAGTTGGTTTTGATTAGGTATGATATAAGGCAGGACATACCTGCTTAGTAAACTTACTTAATGACATAATACTTAGGTGAGTAAAATGACTGAAATACGCACATATTTGAAAGCAGTGGGTAACGGAAAATGAAATACCCACTCAACATTCACAATACCCACTCCAAAAAATTACAGTGGGTACAGTACCCACATGAGCTAAATCTTATCTTGAGCTCTGAGACCAATTCTAATCCGGATCTTCTTGGATGGCTACATAGGGGAAAGAATACAGTTTAACATGACCAGTACTGGTGCTGATTCACACTGTATATCATCTCACCTGCATAATGTTTAAAATAGCCTCCTACCATGCAGTCTGATGTGTGCCCTGTTTTGGTCACTGCAGGTCAACTTTTACAAAATGTATGTCCAGTGGTTGGGATGAATATATTTTGGAGACATACTTAATAAAAATATAACATATTTATAAACATATACTGGGAGTGGCATTTTGACAATGACCAGATATCAGTATACTGCCTCGCAACAACTACTTCACTTATACAGTAAACTATGTTAATAACCAACATGCTAACAATAATTTGATGGATATAACAAACTGTTCTTAGGTCCAAGTCACTTGCTGTATATATTAGTCAAATGTGTAATTATTTTATCAGCATTCTAGAAGTTGGTGAGTCAAAAATGAAACATACAACTTTATGGTGACAACTTCTTATTTATTGCATAGAGCAGCATTTTGATGTAGCTTCTTAAGCTTGATAACAGTGTAAGAATCTACATCTAAACATCGCTCTGTGCAATATATATGAAGTTGTCTTACATAAAGATGTATGTTTCATTTTTAGTCAAATGTGTATTACAAACTACGGTTACAATGAACACAAATTTGTCTTCCCTTCAGGATTTTCAAAACCATAGATTACTGATTAACCCAATACATGATTTTATGTGTAGGTATTTGTCTTTGTTGTTCAGTTAAGGGTAACACAGATCTGGGATTGCCAGCTGTTTCACTGAAAGTTGTTATCTGCCAGTCCAGCTGTCTGGTTGGACTATATGATTTGGATGACCCATCGTAATGATTGTTCTACATCTTGTTTTATGTCTTATATTTACTCTCTAATACCAGGCATTGCTTATCTTGTAGACATCCTTTGGAGAGAAAGGAACAAATGATATACACCTTTATAACATGTTTGTTTCAAAGGGAAGACAAAAGTGATTACCAAGTGTACCATTTGCAAGCTTTTACTCTCTTTGGGTTGGCTGTATTTTGGAGTTATAACATCTGGTCTTAAATACAACGCAAGGACACACATACTACCCACATGCTATAACTGCCCCAAAGGGTCACATGTTCTACATAACACGGGTGGCCTGGAGGGTAGCACCTGTTTCTAACTCTACTCTGTGACAGGATATGGCACTTGATATACGTGCGGGATTGCTTTACATTGAATTCTAAAACATAGAATACGCTGAGACACGAAAGGTCAGAATTTAATTGACACACATCAAACTTTCTAACAACGAATCAGATAAGATAGACCCTGTTTGCTTTGAGACATTCATATTTCGCACACCTGCAGCTCCACCGAACGTTTTCACCCGGAAATCTTCCAACGTCTTTGGATATGCATCAAACTGCCGCAGCCGTTCTAACACACTCGAACTCTGCATATTTGTATGTCGGTTAGGCAAACTGCTTGAATGTCAGTGAGCTGGCGATCGCTGTAGCTACATCTACAGATTTCCACTACTGGCGAATGAAAACAAGCAGCGTGTCGGGGTTAGACTGTTGACTGGGCCCCTGTCTAGCTGTTATTTACAATAGCGCATTGGTGGCTGCGTGTGAACAACTTAGAACCAGTTAAAGTTTGTTGCTCGTTCCGGGTTCCGCTTCGTGGAACGCATGCGCAGCTGTCATGTTTGGAGCCTCATTTCTCTGGTTTTAAACACATTGATGATTGTCAAGATCGAATCTTCATTGTTCTTTCAAGTATTTTTCACTTAAATGTTTGGAATTCTAAATGAGAATGTTCATTTCCAAATGTAATGGGCCATAATCAAACAGACATACATCGTGGCTACACGCCCTGGAGATGCCGCGTCAGAAGTGTAGCTTTCATCTTACTCACACGACATGAATAATTAATTGATGACAGATACCTTTACTTGTTGATCAAACAAAGAGAAGTCATTGCTCTATTCTTTGTTGATTACATTTGGTCAGACCGAAACGTTATACTATAGTATTTCAGGTACTGTTATAGTGTGTCCTATATTATTGTCCTTTGAAGTTTGATAAAGAAGGGATAATCTATTCTCCCTGGATAAAGGGAGGCTCGCTCCAATATTTATCGGAAAATGCCATTTTAGAGCAGCTTCTACGCTAGTAACGCTTAATCGCCGAATATATAATTTTGATACAAACAAATAACTACATTTTAATTGTAAAGGGCCCCCAGTAAACTCATAGATTCAAGACCTGTAGAAATCTAGACTTCCTTCATATAGAGCTTCCTAGCTAACACTGACTGGCTGAGCTTAGTTTTACGCCGCACACAGCAATATTCCAGCTACATGGAGGCGGTCTGTAAATAATCGAGTCTGGACCAGACAGTCCAGTGATCAACAGCATGAGCATCGATCTGCGCAACTGGGAACCGATGACATGTGTCAACCAAGCCAGCGAGCAGGACCACCCGATCCCGTTAGCCCAGATAACACGAAAATGTCAAAACATCTCCAAAAGCATTTTATTCATGTGGATGTGTGTGGTTTTAGAGACATTTTTGTGAACTGGTTAGCAAATGTTTGTAAAATATGTATATTCACGTGAATTTGTATGGTTCCAGAAACGTTTTAACAGTTTTCTCTGAACATTTGGTAATAATGTAGTTTTGCAAAATATTTCATAAAGGCTTCTGAAAAAAGTTTTATTGACGTGAATTTGTATGGTTACGGAAACATTTTAAGAACATTTTCTGTAAACATGTGGTTAAATTTTTTCAAAGAATACAATAGCCCAGATAACAATTATAAAACACAAAACATGTTGTGGCATAATGTTCTTGAATAACATTTAAAAAAGCATTTTAATATTGTTGTGAAATATTTTCATAATGTTCCGAAAACGTGTTTAGGAAATTATTTTTGGGAAACTATTTTGAAACCTTATGAAAATGTTATTTTCAATAGGTGGGTTTCAATCCAGAAAGGGTAAGGCGGAAGGAAAATAATGTGGTTCAGGGATTGTGAGACAGACTAAGCGCCTTCTTCCGAAAATAAATAATACTAATCAATAAAGTTAATATTTGTATCGTCCCGGCTCCAACATATTGCTCAAAGGCGCTTAGACGAAGGCAATTTTGAACAATTGGGTTTTCAGTTGTTTAAACTGGTCGAGGTTGACAATATCATGAATGTGTCGAGGAAGATGGTTCCAGAGCCAGGGGCCGGCTTTGGAGAAGGATTTGTCACCATAGTGTCTTTTCCTGGTCATAGGAACATCAAGTGCTCTTGATGAGCATTTAACTCTATACAAAAAAGGCACGTAAGAAAATGACCTAAAATGCTCTACGTTTGGATGTCGGTTTTCAGTTTAAGGTGAAGACGTCTATCGCGTTACCCATATTACCTGCCCCGTATACTTCTGAATCGAAGTGTGTGTGTCATAAAGCTGATACTGTTCATCAGCGTTCAAAATACCTGCCTGATCGACCGCCCGGGACGGGTTATTTTCAACACGGACTGCCAGATTCTCAAATTCACCTGCCCGACGGTCGGGTTAAACTTTAGACATGTAAATGAAGATATTTATCATATTTCAGGATAATAAATCACTATCAATTCACTCTTAAAAATAAATGATGAATTCCAATTGGATGATTAACTACGTCGTTTGTCAAACCTAAATTATTTGCGGGCAGGTAAGTTTTGGCCAGGGGTGGCAAGTTTTACACCCAATCAGCCCTGTGATCTGGCTGAAATGTTTGGGAGTTTCATACCCTCTGTTTATGTTACTTTACTCACATAAGACAGTTATAACTATTTTTAGTGTTGAGAAATAGCCTAATACAGTGTCCCAGTCACTGTGCCTAGCCACAGATCCATTACGTAGCCTCTGGCGACCAGCAGACGCTGCTTGCGACCAATCTGAATCCACGTTACAGAAAGTATAACATTAGGATAGTTTGCAATTTTCTCTGTACCGGATATAACCGTCTTCCCTTAACCCCACAAATACAGAGCACGTAGTTTGAATGCAAACAGTGATTTAAATGTATATTGCATTTAGCATACACCATCAAAGTGTTTGTAAAAGGTGCGCGTATGTCTGTAAGCCAGTTATATACGTAGTAATGAGGGCGTACCAATTTCAGTGTATAGGAACACGTTAAAACCAAAACAGTCATCGTGTAATTAGAGAATTGATTTACTGTTAATCTAAAATATGAGAGGAAAGTTGTGGTTAAATCTCAAAATTGAGAGGAAAGTTGTTTTAAATGACTTGATCATTTTTGTTGGAGTACGTATTGCTGGTGACAGCCGTAGACCTGCTTTTAGATAACTCTATGCAGTTCAAGGGATGTAGAACTCGTAAGGACGACATCCTGAAAGGGGTGGGGTGGGGATTGTCTTTGCGACAAGGTCATGTCCCATTTGTACGTTCTTAAAATTACGGTACACTAACGCCGAGCAGCCGCATATACGATGGAGGCCTTTCAGGGCAAAACATTTAACATACAAAACATTCCAAACATAATTCCATTCTAAAGACGATTTTTCTGCACACGTGTTTTATTGCATGATTGTGGATTGAAATACATATTTTTGGTGACCAGAGTAGGACCTGGATGGATCCTCCTAAATTACATGCCTAAATTACATTACACGTTTACATTACAACTTTGAGATACGACGTGTCCCTGTATTGCGTATATAATTATGTTTGAGATTGATCCACAAAGTTGGGCGGTCTTACAGCTACGTTTATCGTAAGTCTAAACGTTTACCATAGACTTAGACCTGTCGTAGCTCACCGAAGACATTGTGGATTCCTTCTGGTCCCTAATCTCTGCTAAAACTATTGGTGTTTAGTCGATATTCATATACATGTATTTCGTATTACAGAGTAGAAAACAAGTGGAGATCACAGGCGTTGTAGATGTCAACCGATGGGATTGGTGCAGATGTGGCTGCAGCCGTCGCTCCTCAGACAACACTTCTGGGTCATCGGGCAGTCGGAGTCCCTGGAACAGAAGCTGACACACATGGAGACCCCATACCCGCTTGGGTTGTCCCCAGGGGCGGGGCACTGGCCATGCTTACCCCTCACCTCGCGGGGCAGAGCATTCTGGCACTTCTTGCCGCAGACGGATTCACAACACTTCATGGTCCCTGGACACTGCACGTCCACCAGACACAGATCGAAACGAACGCTGCAGCTAACGGCGAGAGCTGAACGTCTGTCAATGGCGGGGCACACTCCAGGACGAGGGGTGGGGTACTGTTCGGCTCCCGACACTGTCTCCCGCAGTTTGTCGAGCAACATTTCAGACTTCCGGTACAGTCGGAGTCGTGCTCACATTGGTCACGTGAGAAACAGGGTTCGTTGTTGTAGTCTCGCGGACACGTGCCTGGTTTTGGTGGGAGAACCGGAGACTGACACGTCCAGCCACATCCATTGCTGCAACATTTTGTGCCGCTGGAACACTCGCTGTCAGACCGACACATCCTGATACACTCGCCAAATGTCTTCACTTTGGGACAGGTTCCAGGAGTGGCAGGCGATGACGGGGAGTTCGTCAAGGAGGCCGTGTTGCGGTGAGGAGGTTGCACTTGAGACGTTTCACTTTGAGGGACGACGCATGCGTGGCCACAACCATTAAAGCAGCACTTCTGACTGTCTACGCAGTCAATGTCTCGGCCACAGAAGTTGAAACAGATGCCGTACCCGGTTGACGCAGGACATGAACCGGGCTTCTTACCTTTAACAAATGGTGATTGACAGTTAGACAAAGGTATACGGTTCATACCGAGTGTGAAGACATAACTACATCAACTCTATATTATACTACGGGGGCGGTGGGGTAGCCTGGTGGTTAAAGCGTTCGCTCGTCACACCGAAGACCCGGGTTCGATTCCCACATGGGAACAATGTGTGAAGCCCATTTCTGGTGTCCCCCGCCGTGATATTTCTGGAATATTGCTAGAAGCGGCGTAAAACAATACTCACTCACTATATTATACTACCCTAAAGAGGTTAACACCCGATGTCATCCAACTATAAATAATCTCTCATGGCTGGTGGCCTGTCAATTATGGGCATTCCTTAACTTGTTTAGAGCAGTATTGTTATAAAATAGTATCTCGGATGGAATTCAAATGACAGTTTAAGATGTTTGTTGTGTGTTTAGGGCAATATCAGATTTATGGGGCTGCGGGTAGCCAAGCTTATAAGCATTCGTGCACGTCCGAGTCCCCGGACACTGAAGACATTGCTTTAAACGGTGGAAGAACCATGCTGATGTTCCAGGGCAGAAAAGGGCCGGGGCCAGATCCTTTTGTTGTGAGACCAGAATATTAAGGCAGCGTTCGAAATGCCTGCCTGCCCGACCGACCGGGGCGGGTTATTTTCAACACGGACTGCCAGATTCTCAAATTCACCTGCCCGACGGTCGGTTAAACTTTAGACATGTATATGAAGATATTTATCATATTTCAGGATAATAAATCATTATTAATTCACTCGTAAAAACAAATGATGAATTCCTATCGGATCATAAACTACGTCGGTTGTCAAACCTAAATTATTTGCGGGCAGGTAAGTTTTGGTCAGGGCTGTTAGCCCTGTGATCTGGGTGAATTTTTTTGGAGTTTCATACCCTGATTAAGGGTGGTTACAGGGTATGGTTTATATCGATGTGAGTCATCACAATGACGCGACGGCTAGGGTCGTTGTTCATGCAATCCAGGTTTTACTTTGTACAGGGTGATACAGAGGGAAAATAGCTGACTGCGGCGAAAAACACCATGCGGCGTACACATGACATCCTAGAGGTTGTATGACCTGAAATCGGTATCACGTTGCCAAAGGTTCCATTTTGCTTACTGTTGACTGACGCCGGTCCACCGGTCGGACAGCACCGCCCCTGGCTGCCGACAGATTCTGTGACACATCCCAGACCCCCGGGACAGGAATCAACCCCCTCTGTGCAAGTTTTCTCTTGGCCGAATGTGGTGATCAAGGGACTGCCTTCGACACATGGGTTGCTGGTCGTAGCTGGAGCTGAAACATTGGTCAAGGGAATATACAACTTTTGATTATATGTGGAGCTTATTTCATGGAACGGCTTAATAAATGGATTCCTTTAATGCATTGATGTAGGCTTTATAAAACAAATATATTGTTTGTTTGCAAAACGTACGTTCAATTATAGTAATGATGTGAGTTGGAAGGAAAGTACCAATTGGGCGATTTTTGAGGTCCTCCAGTCTCTTAGTAACAGTTGAAAGAAGGGTGAGTGTGTATGGTTTTACACCTTTTAGCAATATTCAAGCAATATTACTGTAGGGGACACCAGAAATGGGATCCATGTGGGGAATAAAACCCGTAGTGCTTTAACCGCAAGGCTCCCAAACCGCCCCAAGTAGCTTCCAACATGTATAACAAGGTACATAGTAGACCAATGAAGGTTCCCAATCGTTATCTGTTGAGTAGTCAGCATATCATTTGTCAACAATTTACCGGGAGTTGTACAGACTGGAACAACCGCGCACACTGGAGCGCATATTTCCACTAGTTTACAAACAGTCCCCTCTCTGCAAGATAACACCTGAAACGTAATGGCATGGAAATTATTACAAAGGTTTGGTTTGAAAATGACTGAAGGCCACATTGAATTTATGTTTTGCATTGGCGGAGCCGGGGATGGGTAGGTTCGAAACCACCCCACCCCAGGGGCGGATACACTTTTGAGAAAGGAGGGGTGCATACCACACTTCATTTCACGAGAGTTTCAATGGTCATTTAATAAAATGTCAGGACAAAAGGGAGGGTGTGCACACACCCCACCCCTCTGGATCCGCCTATGCAACCCACCCCTTTGAAAATTCCTGGATTCCTGGATGAGTCGCCTCTTACGACAAGCATTGGTTGCTGAAGACAAATTCAGCCCGGATCTTTACGGGTAATTACAAAGAGTATTCAAATACAAACACACAGATGTGGGCCATTGAGGTTTATCAGTATACATTACCAACATAAGGCAGGACAAAGTCGTCCAGTTCTTACAAAATGTAATCACGGTCAAGAACATAATGCTACATAGGGTGGGTATACCAATGATGTCATCAGCGATATAGAAGATTACCCATTGTTCTAAAGACAGGCTGTGACATCAACTATAGCCGATAGCAGTCGTAATATCTTGAATAAGCCTTTGTTATCTGAGGTAACATACTCCAGCGGCCAGGGAGTGAATTAGTGAACCAGGGCCTAGATTTTCGAAGCTCTCTTAGCGCTAAGATAGCCCTAAGTTAATTTTAATGTATGACACTTACGACTATCTTAGCGCTAAGAGAGCTTCGAAAATCTAGGCCCAGCCTCATATCAGGTATCGCAGCCTCATATCAGGTCATTTCTGGTGTCCCCCGCCGTGATATTGCTGGAATATTGCTAAAAGCGGCGTAAAACCATACGCACTCATATCAGGTATCGCAACTGTGTGCGCCTGACTACCTGACTACCAGGAGATAGCGTTATGGGTACCAGGTGAGGTGAGGTGAAATTGGGTTTAACGTCGTGCTTGAGAATATTTCGCTCATATGACGACGTGCATGTGTGTGTATGTGTATGTGCGGCTGCTTGTACTAGCCCAGACTGAAGCTGGTTTTATAGTGCTAGCCCACTGAATACCATGCCGCAGTGAAGCATGAATACCCCACTCAGACACATTATACTGACTCCGAGCCGACCAGTCCTTGTTGTACCCATTAATGCCGAGCGCCAGGCAGGGACCGACAAGTACCATATTTTAACGTGTTTTGGTATGACGCAGTCGGGGATCAGATCGAACCCGCGACCTTCCATACATATACAGCTCTGAGTCAATTAACAAACCAGCGCGACGGCCACGCTCTAACCACTACAACACGGAGGCGGTTTATGGAGAACCAGGTACATACATATCAGATTTATTACTTGGTCCCCACATATATATGTATATTATATATAGAAGACACTAACACCGACGTATTCCTACCTTACATGGGTCTGGAGCAGTTCTGACGTCATTCAGCAGCAACGCCATCAGAATCTGGAACAATTTCCGAGTGTGGAACTGTTAGTTTAGCGCTCTTGAAGACAGATTTAAATGCATGAGATGAGGTCAAATGGAGTTTAACGTTGCACTTGAATATTTCGCTCATATGACGACGTGCATGCGTGTGTATGTGTATGTGTGGCTGCTTGTACTAGCCCAGACTTAAGCTGGTTTTATAGTACTAGCCCACTGAGATACCATGCCGCAGTGAAGCATAAATATCCCTCACATTATACTGACTCCGAGCCGACCAGTCCTTGTTGTACCCATTAATGCCGAGCGCCAGGCAGGGACCAACAAGTACCATATTTTAACGTCTTTTTGTATGACGCGGTCGGGGTTCCAACCCGCGACCTTCCACTCTCCGGGCGGACGCTCTAACCACCACACCATGGAGGCGGTCGGATTTAAATGCGAATAATGACTATTGTTTAAGGTCGGTTTTTAGGGATATATGTAACCCATGTGTGTCAACTTTGTGTTCATGGAAAGCTACTAATTATGCGGAGAGCATTTAATTCATGGGACTCAATCATTCCATGACTATGGTCACTGTGCTGAAATCCTCCAGTAGATCATTGCACATTTACCTATCTCCTAACACAAGGGCATATCCATCCCTGGTGAGAAAAGTTTTCTCCAGGTACACGTAGACACCCTCTTCTATCCGTAAATGTAACACTAGCTTTAACAGGGAAGTAATTAGAGGGCTGTTTGTTTCTCTGGTAAAGGTAACACTAGCTTTAACAGGGAAGTAATTAGAGGGCTGTTTGTTTCTCTGGTAAAGGTAACACTAGCTTTAACAGGGAAGTAATTAGAGGGCTGTTTGTTTCTCTGGTAAAGGTAACACTAGCTTTAACAGGGAGTAATTAGAGGGCTGTTTGTTTCTCTGGTAAAGGTAACACTAGCTTTGACAGGGAAGTAATTAGAGGGCTGTTTGTTTCTCTGGTAAAGGTAACACTAGCTTTAACAGGGAAGTAATTAGAGGGCTGTTTGTTTCTCTGGTAAAGGTAACACTAGCCTTAAAGGGAAGTAATTAGAGGGCTGTTTGTTTCTCTGGTAAAGGTAACACTAAGCTTTAACAGGGGAGTAATTAGAGGGCTGTTTGTTTCTCTGGTAAAGGTAACACTAGCTTTAACAGGGAAGTAATTAGAGGGCTGTTTGTTTCTCTGGTAAAGGTAACACTAGCTTTAACAGGGAAGTAATTAGAGGGCTGTTTGTTTCTCTGGTAAAGGTAACACTAGCCTTAACAGGGAAGTAATTAGAGGGCTGTTTGTTTCTCTGGTAAAGGTAACACTAGCTTTAACAGGGAGTAATTAGAGGGCTGTTTGTTTCTCTGGTAAAGGTAACACTAGCTTTAACAGGGAAGTAATTAGAGGGCTGTTTGTTTCTCTGGTAAAGGTAACACTAGCTTTAGAGGGAGTAATTAGAGGGCTGTTTGTTTCTCTGGTAAAGGTAACACTAGCTTTAACAGGGGAGTAGTCTAGAGGGCTGTTTGTTTCTCTGGTAAAGGTAACACTAGCTTTAACAGGGAAGTAATTAGAGGGCTGTTTGTTTCTCTGGTAAAGGTAACACTAGCTTTAACAGGGAAGTAATTAGAGGGCTGTTTGTTTCTCTGGTAAAGGTAACACTAGCTTTAACAGGGAAGTAATTAGAGGGCTGTTTGTTTCTCTGGTAAAGGTAACACTAGCTTTAACAGGGGAGTAATTAGGAAGGGCTGTTTGTTTTTCTGGTAAAGGTAACACTAAGCTTTAACAGGGGAAGTAATTAGAGGGCTGTTTGTTTCTCTGGTAAAGGTAACACTAGCTTTAACAGGGAAGTAATTAGAGGGCTGTTTGTTTCTCTGGTAAAGGTAACACTAGCTTTAACAGGAAGTAATTAGAGGGCTGTTTGTTTCTCTGGTAAAAGGTAACACTAGCTTTGGACAGGAAGTAATTAGAGGAGCTGTTTATTTCTCTGGTAACGGTAACACTAGCTTTAACAGGGAAGTAATTAGAGGGCTGTTTGTTTCTCTGGTAAAGGTAACACTAAGCTTTAACAGGGGAGTAATTAGAGGGCTGTTTGTTTTCTGGTAAAGGTAACACTAGCTTTAACAGGGGAAGTAATTAGAGGGGCTGTTTGTTTCTCTGGTAAAGGTAACACTAGCTTTAACAGGGAAGTAATTAGAGGGAGCTGTTTGTTTCTCTGGTAAAGGTAACACTAGCTTTAACAGGGAAGTAATTAGAGGGCTGTTTGTTTCTCTGGTAAAGGTAACACTAGCTTTAACAGGGAAGTAATTAGAGGGCTGTTTGTTTCTCTGGTAAAGGTAACACTAGCTTTAACAGGGAAGTAATTAGAGGGCTGTTTGTTTCTCTGGTAAAGGTAACACTAGCTTTAACAGGGAAGTAATTAGAGGGCTGTTTGTTTCTCTAAGCACATTATCCTCCGTCCAGCGTATTGTCACCCCGAGCATCAAACAGCGGCGACATGGTCCCTACGGGTTCACATATCTTCACCTACAGTAAATGCCCTTTGTGTTATTGTATACCATACCCTACAGAGTTAAATACAATTTGTGAGACACACGTAGTCAGGATGAGTTACCTGTAGACTGTAAATGTAGCAAAGGATGCCACGCTAACAAGGTACACAATACCATGGATTCTGCTACCCGCGTAGAAACGCTGAGCTACCATTGAACACCCGCGGATTGCGGCCGTTGTCTAGCTAAAGTTTGCAGTTTGATGTAAACAATGATAAACAAATCGTTACCTGGTGAACAGGTTTCTACGTCTTCATGTAAGACAAGTGAAAGTGACCCCTAAATTCATACTCTGTCGAATTCATTCTGTCCATTCATTCGACTCTAACTACACCATGACATGTTTACGAATCTTTGTTCAAAACCTTGTGTACGAATCATTGTCGAACACTGTCTTATAGTATATAGTATTGTTGATTTCTCCATAGACTCATGCTTAGTCTCTGAATATATATAATTTTGATAGTAACAAACAAGCCCATTTAAATTGAAAAGGAGCCCTAGGGACACCAGAGATTCAGAACCTGAACCTGGGGAAATCTAGACTTGCTTCGTTTAGGGCTTTAGCACTGCAGGGAACGCTAGGCTGTACGGAAAATAATGTGGTTCAGGGACTGAGAGACAGACTAATTCCTGCATTGTACAAACTCGTGTTATCAACGCGTCCAGAGAACCAGCGTAACATTCAAAAGTTATAAAACCAGGCTTTATGTAAAATTAATTCGTACCCAACGAGATTCGTACCTATCGAAAACGGCCATGCATGTAACGCGTGTATAATTATACATATGTTTGAATTTTGGATATAACATTTTAGAATGAGTATGGTAGCGGGATTAAATAAATGAAACAATTTTCCCCAAAGTGCTGGCAACAAAAATACATCCTCAAGTGTTACAGTAAAAATAGTCCCGTTCATGGACATGTAGTTATAAGCGTATAATTTGAAGCTATGGGTGTAATATATTCCTAAACGTCACAGTCTCTATATACTGTATTACTTCTTGACCCACGTAGGGCACCTCCTCCCTGTACATCGGATGAAACAGAGCAGGGGCTGAACTTTCTAGAGAGCAGACACAAAAATGAAGAATGGAAAAGTCATCCGTGTTGTCGATATGGCTGAAATATTGCCCATGTGACATTAAATATTAACTCACTCACTCTATGGAGTCGCTAATTATGTATTAAACGAACTTGCCAAGATTGAGCTTCTCAACCTGCTTGGTTGAGTGGGTGATTCGATTCAATTCCCATGCATTAATAACCCCATATACTAACAAAGTTTAATCTGAAAGTATATTCTTTTACCTAGGCAGGTGAGTTAAACAACTGGTTTCCTATGCAAAGAGAAACATGTCGACGCACAGTTGATCCAAGTAAGCACAGTTTCAAATGAGAACTGTTCAGTTCTCGCACTGTTATCTTTTCTAAAATAATCCTCAACCCCCGACCTTTGTCAAAAGCAAAATAGCTATCAGAATCAACTTACGAAACAAAACTTTAGTGGCTGTGTGTCCTTGCTTCTGTTCATCATGCTGGTGTAGACCGCGAAAGTGGACCTGACCTGGTGTACTACCCCACATTACATGTCTGTGTGGATAATTTAAATATGTGTGACTGGGATTAAACTGACTGTTGATTTGATAAACTGATAATAGTGGTTTAACTGTTTTATTACCATGCTGGGGAGACAGTGTGAGAAGGGGTGGATCTGGGCCACCCTGCCGGTAAAGGGAGGGGGGTAATCTTACATCAGGGTCGCATGTTTAAGGGGTGGGGACGTATAGACTATTGGGTCGGCTTTCACGGATAATTTGTGCAGGTTCAGCACGTATTTCTTCCACGGCACTAAGTTGACAATATAATCCAACAACATGGTGATATACCAGCTTTATATCCCAATTTATTCGAGGCAGTGTGTAACAGGAGACCCTGCGAAGCGTAACACCCATAAAGTTCACAGTTAAACTACACGTCAGGCTTATAAATAACAGACTTTCGAAATATTTGACATGAATGAATTGTCTTCTTCCCCTGTGATATCGTCACACAATTACACTTTGAGGCAGAGTCATCTTTCATGTCGTAGAAAATGTGCATTTTAGCGGGGTGGCTTACATCAAGGAGCGTTATATAGACGTCCGGCTTATATATACAATATCATCAATGCAAACTTAAGAATAATTATAGGGGTGTGTTCAAAATAACCAAGATGCCCTTCTCTTTGCTTTGAAATATACATTATTGGATTGTCAGTTTTTCGTTCAAGTTTTTGTACTACGTATTATTTTGATAAAGTTATTATATTGATTATATCGACACGGGTATTTGCAGTTGAATACAAGTGTCCGGAAGACAAAATAATGTTCCCTCCATTCAAGCAACATCACGGGCAATGCCTGGTTCAGACACCTTATGATTTTCCGGATTTTATATGAATGCTCCACAGCAGCGCATGCCTCATTT